TGAGGGAGGTGATTGATTAAAATATTAATATTCAACGTTTATACTCAGTAATGCAATAATTTGTGCAGATAAGCTTTTCTGATTGCAATGCTTCCACGTACTATAACCCACTAGTGGTTCAAGTATTATGTCTGACATTTTCTTCAACTAAATTCACAATTTAATTGAGCAATGCAATAGAGACCTACAAGTAGTAGTAGTTTCAGCTCATTACGCATAAAAATCTTTTGGTTAGCTAACAAGTTAGGCCAGACTGTTTGGCGGCTACAGCGCTGCCATTTTGTCTAGTGCTAGCCACATGAGGCTGCAGCTGAAGATGCCACTGCCACCACCTCTGCCTCCGTTGCGGCAAGTCTGTTATCAGCGGCGCGCATCAAAATGCAGCAAAATGAGCTTCAGCTGAAGCAACAGCAACAACAACAGCAACAACTAGAGGAACAGACGAGTCTTTGTTTTATTTTATTTTTGGGTTAACTGACCTCGAACGATTAGCAGCGGTGGCGGCGGTCGCGGCCGTTAAGGCCAAGCGACAAATGAACATTGGGGAACAAAAGGGTCGACTGTAGTAGACACACCAAATTGTTCGATTGTTTATTGCAGCGCACAACGCCCACCGAAGGCTGCAGACAGAGCAGCAGGAAAAAAAGCGACGTAAGAGGAAAAAAAAAAAAAAAAAGTCTGAGCAAGTGAGAAACCAGCAACAATAATCTGCTAGCTGATAAAGTGGCCCGCCTGCTTGGCTGCCTGGTTATATACGTGTATATATGTGTGTGTGTGTGTGTGTGTTTGTTGTGCCTGGGTTGCTTATCGGCGACGATCGATCGCGGCTGCAGCGACGCGACGCAAAAGCGGCAAAAACTGATTTAACAAATTGATAAGCAATTGTTGGTCTCTGGCTGGTGGTGTGGAGTATAGTCGCTTGCTGCTGTTGTTGTTGTTGTTGCTGCTGCCGCTGCTGCTGAGGAGTGTGTGGCACGGCCAGGTGAAGTGCTTGTGGGAGGGGTAGAGGTTGGGGTGGAGGTAGCAGAGGGTTGGGCGGCGTAACGTTACGAAATGGCTAAACAAACGATCGCCTTTTGCCGGCAACAATAAAAATGACGCAGTTTGCTTTTGTCTATACACATATATATATATTTATATATCTGTGTATGTGTGGCTTAATCTTGGCAGAAATCTGCCAGCAAGGCCAACGCGAAGCAACGCCAAGTACAGCCAAAGCAGCTAATCTACAGCAACAACAACAACAACAACAAGTAACTGCAGCTGCTGCCGCTTGCCCAAAAGCCATTGTTAGCGTCTTGGAGCGTCGGCTATCGAAGCTCAGTAATCTGCACAGCCCGCTCCAAACTAAAGCTGAACTTTGCGAGACTCTGCCTTCCTGCTGATGCTGCTGCTGCTGTTATTGTTGTTGTTGTTGTTGCTTTGAACACTTTACGTGTGTTCCATATCGCTGGCCAATCGAAGGCAATAAATATCTTACAAATAAGCAGAATGCGCTGGAATGTGCAAAAAAACATTTTTTTTAAATAAAATCCGAATAAAATTGAAGAGTTGTTGATGCCCGATTATTGTTGTTGTTGCAAACTTGTGAAAATTGTTTTTGCAATTAACGCGTCAAAGCGTGCGTTGGCGTGTAAGGAGAAGAAGAAGAAGAAAAACATAGTTGAATTCTCTTTAGTTTTTCCCACAATTACCAACACACACAGATTTCTGCTGCAAATCAAAAGACTCAGGCAACAAACTTGATTGTCAATTCATAGTCACTTGCATACAAACAGCGCACAGTGGACTTTTTATTGACAATATGAGATTAAATTTTAAGTTGGGCCGGTATTTAGAAAGCTAGCTAGATAGATTTAGAATTTATTTTTGACTTTGAGGAAATTCATTGCGAGTTCATAAATGTATGCCTAAAATTCTATGCCAATAAAGAAAACCAAAAATTATATTTACAGTGGTTCAAGGGATGTGAAAGTCAAATCAAATTTAAAATCAGTTCAATGTCCATATAGGTTCGGGCTATTGTTAAGGTTAATTGTACATTTTCACATTTGTGTGACGTCACATTTATTGACTTTAAAATATCAGTATATCGAAAAGAGAAATATGAAGGAATCAAACCGCTTAATGTATTTTTAAAAAACTCTTCAATTCAGTTGTAGTTTGATTAAAAATTGCTTTAAAATTTGCACGCCGCTGGCAGGCCTGTCCTTCAGAATGCTGATGCGTCTTCCTTTTTCACAATATAAGGCGATTCATCAAACGCTTTAAAACGCCAATAAAAAACACAGCATTAGCCATTTTTTCTGGAATACTTCCTTTTAGATCGTAGAAATAAACCCTGTCTTTACTTTTGACTTCTCCAAACGACTTTTTTTTTCAAAACACCCCCCTTTATCAACATTAGTGTACAAGAAGTTTTGGTCTGTTTTGATTTCTTAATAATGTCTTTCGAATTTGGAATTCATTTCAAAATTTGGGTTATTTTTGTACCGACTCCAATTCATCCGATTGTCATAAAATATTGTCGAACTGTCACTAAATAATGTACCTCATTAAACCATCCATCGTTTTTAGAAAGCGGATATGGTGTTTTGTTTTTTACAGTGGTTTGTGTTTTTTTTTTTTTCATTTTTAATTAAAACAAAAAGTGTTTTTTTAATACATTTTTGTAATTTGTAAAAGTTTCAAAATTTTCTAACTTTACTTTCAAATAACAAGTACATTCTATATATTCGATAATTTAAGTGTTGTGTTGAATCATTATTATTTCTCCCATCTGGACCCATGGTGCGTGCATTTGCAACGATTTGGCGGCAACATGTTGCTTGTTGCACCAAACTGGGCAAATGTGTCCATCAAAGAGCGCTGGCAGTGCCGCTGTGGCGGCTCATTTTACGCCAAATTACAGCTGTAGAAACAAACAAGCGTAAGTCTAAGTCGAATGGCGGCCATGGCGCTGACATTTCAATAGCCAGGAATTGACAGGTCAACGCGCAAGCGTAAAATGCCCGCACGTCGCACACTCCGGAGGGGAGTAGCACCAGAAGAAAAAGCAGAGCCCGAAGACTCTCTGTCGAATTCTGCTGAAGCTTCTCGGTGTGTTTGTTGCGGGTTGGTTTGGCTTCAGCTTCTTAGGCAAGTGTACTCGCGTAGCTGCTGTTGCTGCTGTCCGCTTATCGCCACTGTCATATCTATTGAGTAAGCCGACCAGACCAGCCAGCCAGCCAGCCAGCCAGCCGGCCAGCCAGAAAGGCAGCAAAGAGCCAGCCCACATGTGTATGTGTGTGTCGCATTTCTCTGTCTCTCTGGTACATGTGCCCGTCGCTTATCTCGGCCAGCATCGCTGGTCGTTATAATATTTTGTGCCCAAAAACAAATCAGATGTCAGACGTTGCTCTAATCATTAAATGTGCGCGCGCGCTTCAAATGCAACCTCGCGATGTTGCATGCACAGTCCCGGGTCTCCAACCCAAGTGACCACCATGAGCTTTTCCGCAACCTATTCTAAGTATTAGTGTGAGAGTCTGTCCTTAGAGATGGCAACGTGACAAAAGATACTGTTCTTGAAATGACGTTCGAATCTGTACAGTTTTATAATCAAAGCTATGTGTTTCAATAATTTAAATGGTTGTTAAAAGCAGGCTTAGACACATGTTCATTGTCAGTTGCCGTTTGGGACTAAATTAAAGTATTCTTCTCTGTACTTCTCTCAGCAAACCTATACAGTTCTATAATCAGAGCTATATGTTTGAATAACTTACATAGCACAACATTAAAGTATTCTTCTCTATACCTCTCTCCACGCACCTTTGTTTCGCATTCGTCTCTTCTACTTATTCGCCAGTTAAAGTTCCAGGATACCCCAAAAATTATAAATAAATTGTACCATTTTGTTTTTCAAATACTTTACGGAATAGATCAAATCCCTATATTTCATTTGATTCGACACCTATAACCAATTGTAATTAGGCTTTTATTATTTTTCGAGTACGATAGACTGAAGCTTTAGCTCCTTAAATATACTATATCTGATATAAGATATTGTCTTCCATGCCATTATATTATCTTTATATTCCTTATTTTGTATGGATAGCTCTTCTAATTCTTTTTGATTTAACACAACAAGCAAATCTATAGAATCATCCATAGAAATATATTTCATTTAGAAAACATTTATAGCTTGTAAGAAAATAAAAAGTTGTATTCCTTGTAATACTAGTTTCCAAAAAAATTTTGTTTATTTATTTATTTAATGCAAATTAAAATATACTTTTCAATTTGTTTTATTATATTTTCCCCATGTCATTCAAATAAAACAATTGAAATAAATAATGAACTATGTTGAAAAGGAAGCAAAAGTCAGAAATCAATAATAATGAAAAAAATAAATGTAATCTAGTAAATAATTGAGAAATCAATTGCAATAACTACTATAATTAGTCTGACATCCGGCGACTACGTCTATTTTAAATGGGTTATTAGCTAATGAAACTTTTAGAGCACGGTAATAGAGGCTACCACACTATATCGCTTAGTGTTGTATTACATTATTGATATTCCCCTGATTCTCCTTTATAACTTTCACGCCCAAGATTACGTCACACGGCCATCTCTAGCCTGGGTTTTCCACGTAATCCGGCATAAGTAGATGCAAGTGCGGGATAAAAGTACAAATGGCCAGCCTCTAGACGAGGTAGACGACGACATCGTCGCATTGTTTCACAGCTCGCCTGTCGTTTTCTTATTTCGGGTCTGTTTTTTTTTGTGCGCATGCGCAGCATTGGCAAAGGCAATGGAAAACGGCAACGCCAGCGGCCTGGCCCGGCCTGCCTGACAATTTGTTCGATAATAATTGTTAACCTCTGGCCAATTTGACACACAGATATCTGCGTGGCGTAGTTTATGGCCTGCTGGTCGTCAAGTTTCTGGGAACCACAGGGTTTGACTTGCCTAGCCCTCGATCTCACGCTTCCCCTTCCTTTCTTTCCCTTTTGCAGATTCCAAAGATATGGGCGAGGAGAAACAGCTGTTGGAGCCCAATGAAGAGCACAGCCAAACGAATGCTACTGAGCAGGAAGATGATGAGACTGAATGCGGCTTCGCTGCAGGTGATAATGAGAACGCTGCGATGAGAGAGACCCCGCCACCGCCGGCCAAATCAAGTCCCCATTTGGAGGCCAAGCTGGAGCAGCATCAGCCGGAAGCGCTACCCTCGCGTCCCACCAGCAATGAGGCACGCAGCCCAACGCCTGCACGCTCCGAGCAGCGTCTGAACAGCTGTGATGAGCTCATACCGAAGCTGGAACTGGATATGGACACGCCATCGCCTTCCTCCACAACACGACCCACTACAGTATCCCCGAGCCCCTCACCACCGCAGAACGAGCGCACGCCGCTGCCTCCTTTGCCAAAACTGCGTCTCAACACGCTGCTTGCCTCAGACCCAGCTCTCAAGCCCGATGCCAAGGAGTTGAGCCTAATGCACGAGGAGACACCCTCGAAGCAACGCTTGCTGGCCGCCACAGCATCCGCGCTTAGCAAGCAACAGCAGGAGCAGCAGCAGCAGCAGCTGGCCGATGCTTTGGTCGAGCCTTTGCTAAAGCCTGCCCGCTTCATGTGCCTGCCCTGCGGCATTGCCTTCAGCTCACCGTCAACGCTGGAGGCACATCAGGCCTACTACTGTTCACATCGCAATAAGGACGACGATGAGGTGCTGCCTGTGGCCGACAAAGCCTCAGGAACGGCCTCTGGCGCATCTTCGGCTTCCGGAGGCGGCACTTCCGGAGGCAGCTCTGAGCCAGCAGCCAAGGCTGCGCGAACGGGCAAGCAATACGCATGCACTCAATGTTCCTATAGTGCCGACAAGAAGGTCTCGCTGAATCGTCACATGCGCATGCATCAAAGCTCCCCGGCTCCCAGTCTGGGGGCATGCAGCGCCAATGGCGCGTCTGTGGTGCCAGCCCCAAGCGGCGCCGGATATGAGGAGAGCTCTAGTCAAGTAAGTTTCTACTGCTAAACTAATCACCATTTTTTCTCAAACTATAAGCTTATATGAAAAATAAACTAATCAACAATTTTATTATAAGCTGAACTTTCAAATTGATATTCCAACTCCGACTGGTCTTAAGGAGCAATATAAAACATTTTGAAATATGTTTAATTAGGATGAAAGTTTATTGGACCGTGCCTATTATTTAGACTTGGTTATCTAGCAAACAGCTTCCACACTTGTTCAAACTGCGAATGAAATCCATGGGATATTTTTTGTTTAACTAGGAATTCCAGGCGATTCAAATTTTAATCTTACCAGTTAGAGAGTTAAAGATCTACCTTTAAACTTGCTAAGTTGTTTAATAAGTGTAGCTTTTTGAATCTTAAAAAGAAAGTATAAGTTTTATCACATATTTACAGCCTCCATTGGATATAAGTAAAGGTACACATGAAAGAAGCTTAGTTATTCCAAAATACATTCGAAAATCTATAGATTTTTTATCATGAATTTTATAAAAAAAAGTACCATAGCATTAATCTACCTTATATAAATAAGTACTTATATTTAATTTACTTTATAATCCTTAACTCGCCCCTTTTAGCAAACCGACCGTTACTGCAGCGATTGTGATATACGTTTCAACAATGTGAAGACCTACCGCGCCCACAAGCAACACTACTGCAGCTCACGTCGCACCGAAGGCTCCATGACACCCAAGCTGGAGACCAGTGGGGGCACTGCGACTGCGGGCGTCAACAAGGCCGCCTTGGTCAGTGGCGCCCACAGTCCCCAGACGCGCAATAAGACCCCCACACCGGCCATGGTGGCTGCAGCAGCAGCTGCCGCGGCTGCGGCCGCTGCCTCACTCCAAGTGCCGCCTCCTCAACCGTTCCTGGCGCTGCCCACAAACCCCATCATCATTGTGCCCTGCTCGCTGATACGAGCGGCCAGTCTTATTCCAGGACCACTGTAAGTAGTCACAGCTTTAAGCTGAATAGACAAAAAAAAAGTTCATCGCTATGGCATTACAGCACCACTTCGACCTCGGGCATTGTGAATCCCGAGTCCACATGCTTTGCACTCGAGAATGGGGCCCTGAAGCCGCTGGCCACGGCTCTCAACATCAATGCGTTGACCAGCAATCCGGCAAATGCTGTGCCCAACAACAACCCACCAGCGATGCCGAACTTGGAGCCGGAACGTAAGCCAACCAGCGCTGCGGTGGAGCCAGAGAAGAGCAATGCCATTGAAAATGTGCCCGTGAAACGCAAAGAAGCCGGCGGCACACGGTAAGTTCTAATCCCAAATCTAAAGGAAGACTAAACTTCGCTTCAAACTAAAAATCAAATTCAAATCTTACTAATCTCGTATTGTCTCTCCACAGCGAATCGACGCCGCTGGATCTCTCTCTACGTAGGTCGCCCATTTCGGTGCAACGTCAGCGTCTCATACGCTCCGCCACCGCACTTCTGGACACTGAAACTCAACAGTCGCATCGCATGGATATGGAGTCGCTACTGGAGGCGAGCAAAGAGAATCTGGCGCTAGACCAGAGCGGGAGCGTGACCCCCGAGCAGATCGTATGCGCACCCTCCCTGCCCAGCAGCCCTTCAATGAGTCCCTCGCCGAAGCGACGAGCCATCAGTCCGCGCAGCTCAGGGGCCGGCAGCACATCCTCGATGTCGCCACCAACGAGTGTGAGCGTGCCACATTTTTCAGCAGCAGCCACCGCCGCTGCTGGTCTATTGGACAACTTGCCACTGCGCTCCATGCTGCCCGCTGATTTTGCTCTATCGCTCTCGAATTCCGAATCCTTGTTGGCGAAGACAAATCCTGAGCTCGCACTGAAGTTGGCAGCAGCAGCAGCCGCTGCTGTGGCGGGTAGCACCACAGCAGAGTTGGCCAGCAAGCTGGGCTTTTCGGTGCCACCTCCAGCTGCGCCGACCACGGCTCCAACAGCCGCTCCAAACACGCCCAGCGGCCAGCCTCAGATCTATGTGAAGCAGGGCGTATCCAAGTGCAAGGAATGCAACATTGTCTTCTGCAAGTATGAGAACTATTTGGCCCACAAGCAACACTACTGCTCGGCACGCAATCAGGAAGGCAACGAGGGGGAATCCAAGCTCACCCGAACATCCCCAAATACGAGCATCGGCTCGTCAGCGGACTCCACGCCCGTGGCCTATCAACAACTGATATGTGCGGCCTGTGGCATTAAATACACCTCGCTGGACAATCTGCGAGCTCACCAGAACTACTATTGCCCCAAGGGAGGCGGCGCCCCAGCAGCTGCCACTGGAACAGGAGCAACAGCTATGGATACCGTTTCGGTACGTTTTGATCATACTGCAGAAGTTTTAAGCCATACAAAAGAATAAATATCGTTCAAGGGGGATTAACAATAGAATATTAGTGCTCATAATATATATATTTTTGAATAGTCTTATTAAATTATTATTGATTAAAACATTTATCAAGAACAATTATAGCTAGATGCTTGTGTTGGTGTCTGATAGCAAACACCCTTCACAGCTGAAGGCTGTACATTTAATAGTTATAGGCAGTATACCTTTCTGATAAACCTTATAAGTAAATACATTACGACAAATTCATTTGCTTTCCATCTGTCATCAATCATGTCATTTATATATGCACGCCCTTGAAGTGTAACAAATGTAAGACGAAGGCCTACATTTTGGTGACCCCCTTCCAGTTAGTCCCTTAATAATCAATTTTCTCACACCCCACAGCTCAGCCTACCCAAGGAGAAGTGCGGCAAGTGCAAAACAGTCCATGAACATGGCCTGCCCTGTCCCCCACCAGCAACGTTGCCACAACCCCAAGCTTCACCACTGATTGCGCCAAGTGCTGGAGTAGAGCGCGTCATCAGCACCACACCAGCCCCTTCGACAACATCGTCGTCCTCGTCGAACAATGTCAACAAGTGTCCTGTGTGTGGTGTGCTTAGCCCTACGGCAGCGCTGGCCCGCAAACACATGGAAATGCACGGAACTGTGAAGGCTTTTCGCTGCACCATCTGCCAGTACAAGGGCAACACGCTACGCGGCATGCGCACCCACATCCGAACACACTTTGACAAGAAGACGAACGACATCAATGAGGAGCACTACATGACGTGCATTTTCGAGGAGGACTCACTCGAGGTGCCCACAGCAGCGGCAGCAATGCAACAGGAACAATTGGAGCAGCAGTTGCAGGCAGCAGCCGCAGCGGCAGCAGCTGCCGCCATCGCGGAGCAGACGCCCCAAATCTTTAATTGCGATTATTGCAATTATACTTCCACCTACAAAGGCAATGTGGTAAGTACGAGTAGTATTGAGATTATAATATTAGTCTACGAATAGCTAGGAGCCACAAAAGGTTCAAAAACATCTGAAACCTTATATGGTATACATTTATTTTTGTACACTGGACCAAAAGTTAAATATCCTTTAACTTACTTAACTAGTTCTGTGGGTAAAGCACAGTAGGCCCCTTGATCAAATCTGGTAATTGAATCCTAAATTATAGTTCTATCCTTCATAATTCGGTACCTTTATATAGAACTCTTCAACAGTTCGTCTGCAAACCAATCTGTCGATAATAGAGTTACTCTTTCATGTTGGATCTGCTGTCTATAGTAGTACCAGAACATAAACTATATCTCTACTTCTTTTTGCAGCTACGGCACATGAAGCTGGTGCATCCACATGCAGCCATCAGCTCGCCTTCAATATCTCCCGAGTCGCGGGAGCATGAGCCCGCTACGGACGTTACGGCTGTAAACGGCGAAGCAGCCAAGTATGTAGAAACAGCTTTTCAGAATTAAACTTCAGGATATTAAATTTTCTCTACCACACATAGCTTTCATATTAAATCGGAGCCGCTGGATCATCCCACTGGCGTAGTTTCTAATCTGGGTCTTGTGCATGAGAACAACAATTCTCCACTAGCCACGCCTCTGCCGCACATTAAGGCCGAGCCTATGGACATAGGTCTCGATGTGGTTCAACCGCCGCCACTTCCACCCAACCTGCCGCCGCCTGTTGCCTCGCCGCTGGGCCCCACCGCCGCCGAGGCCATGAAGAAGTACTGCTCCACCTGCGATATATCCTTTAACTATGTGAAGACCTTTCTGGCCCACAAGCAATTCTACTGCAAGAGCAAGCTGCAACGACCCGAGGCGAACGATAGTCCCAGTCCCAATCATGTGGGCGTAGCAGGACATGCCATGCAGCCGCTACAATCCCCCAGCGAGTTGCTCTTGCTGCAGAAGAATAAGGAGAATCTACAGGAGGCGGCCATTTGAGAGAGCCACCTGATGTGGCAGGCCCAGCGCAAGCAACTGGAATGGTACTACAAATGCTTCTAAGCCGCCTCGAATCCAAGAAAACAATTCAATCCGACAGTATTCCTAGAGAATCTCCCAACTGCTTGCCCACCACTACCCCAAATCCTGATGACCACACATATACGAGTATAAGCTTGCGGCTGATCGAGGCAGCTCTCGCTGCGCACTCGATCCGTAGATATAAACTATGCTATACTATATACATACATACATTAACATACATATAATAGAAATCATGACATATAATGCATGCCAAAGTTTACCACATAGAGAAAAAAACATAACTTAAGTGCAAGAAACTGAAAGTTTTTCAATAATTTCAGGGGACGCCAAAATGTTCCCATTACCTTTTAAACCCTCTCCCTCTTTTTCTGTTCAATTTTGAGTTTTGTTCGAACGTTTTTTTTTCTTCTGGTGATTAGAAATCCATTACTAAACTATATTGCAATGTGCCCCAAATGGGCGTACAATTAAAACTGTGTAATTTAACTATTAATATTGTACTACGTAGATTGTTAAGTGTGTGCGACAATAAAAATAACTAATTTATTCAAGGAAAGTGTATAAAGCATAAATAAATATACATACATTCATATAAACTAATAGAGCTTCTACTTTATTTACCTATCGTTTTTTAATAACTAACCTCGCTAAAATAAGAGTTTTAAGAGCAAATTAATGATATTTTTAAATTCCAATATCGCCCGCCAGTAGAACTAAAGTAGAACCGATTCATCGATTATGTTTTCAGTTTCAAAAATCGATATTTGCATATCTAATCAAACGTTGCAATTCAAGGTTTGCATCACTTTCTACAGGAAGATTTATTTCACCAATATGGTTTCCAACAGCCAGATTAATAAAAAGAAATACGTAAGCAAATGCAATTAAATTTTTAACATAATAATCCAGTCGTTTTTCCAAACCTTTTCTTGATTGTTCATATTGGAAAGTTTAAATTAATTTAACGTGGTTCAAACAAATCGGAAGAAAATATTCTTTATCGCTCAACGAGACGTCGAAATTCTCTCGACGAATAAAAAACGCACGCGTCAGCGATGAACAATCCACGTTTTGCTTTAACAGACTACCAGCCGAGCATAAATCAGCAGCAAGGGAACGAATTGCCAAGCAGTGTTGCGCAAAAATGTTGCTGCATACTTTTGGGGTTGTGCATTAAGTTTTTAGTGTTGTGTATGTATATTGCTGCCTCCAATTGCAGCCTGCTGCTGATTCCTTTTCTCCTGGTATGCCGTTTAATTCAGACAGCGGTTTGTATAGCGTTGGCTAGTTCGTTCGGTTAGCTGCCGGATTTCCACCATTTTGTGTAATTTTCAGGCTGAGTGGGTGGTGGTGGCCATGCTTTTTGCTTTGCCCCGCAAATGAGGTACTCTATTGTGCTAATCTCGCCTTATAGAAATGAGCTAATAAATGTGAGCAGAAAACTCGTACAACTCTAGAAGCCTTGAAATTAACAAATGGATGTACATAAGTTTAACCCCAGCCCCAGTATGAGAGGATAGACGCAGCTACTGGAACTTTCACGTCTTCTGTTACAGAAATCTTTCAGAAGTGAAAATACCTCATTAGAAAGGGTATACAAGACCTGCCACGTTCGCTGAAAATACACATATGGCAGCAATGAGTCACCGCCATCTTAAAAATTTCATAACTTAAAAGATCGCCAAACCCAAAAGATTGATTTACTTATACATAAAAAATTTATTGAAATTTATAATACGCCGTACTAGAGGCGGATGTACATTCTCAAGCCTACGTAAGACATTACATATCATTTCTTCTGGTACGAGAATCTGGATTGTGATTTACATACATAATTCAGGTCTTTATAATCGACTTACGAAAACTGAAAATGGTTAGTACAGTGCTTTATCGGAAGCGTTCTCTAGAACACTTCACTCCTAGATGTTTTGTTGCGATCACTTGTATATGTAAATATTATTATATGTGTGTGGATGTGTTTGTGTATCTGCATGTAGAGTTCGGCGTCTAATTGCTGGCTTTATTCAGTAGCGGCCATAGCACGCGCCTGAGCTCGTACACGTTTCTCATACTCTAGACGATTCTGACAATAGATGGTATAAGCTTCTGCCTGAGCCGGATCCTTGATGTTTGGTTCGTTAAGCAAGTCCTGAATGCCAAGCAAAATCTGTTTGATGGTTATAGCCGGACGCCAATCCTTTTCCTCGTCTAGTAGTGACAGGCAGACAGTGCCAGATGGGTATACATTCGGATGGAAGAGTGGCGGTTCGAACTTGCACTTGGGCGGCGAAGTCGGGTAGTCATCCTTGAAGATCATACGCAGTTTGTACAGGCCACCCTCCCATGGTGTGGATTTCTTGCCGGGAATGGCGCATTCCCAGATCATCAAGTTCAGGGTACCGTCTGGGTTTTTAGCCGGTCGAGCTACAAATCCAAAGGGGTGGTCCTTACGCCAAGCTTTACGCTCCTCACCCAATCGTGTTATAGCAATGCCAGACATTTTTTAGTTTTCCTTTTCTATCTCTGACGGCGCTTCTTGTTGCAAATTTGTCCGTCGGTTCTCTTTTTATCTCCGTTGCACACGCTGTTTTCGGTTTGCGTTTACACGTCTGTTCCGAGGGCACAATAGAAAATACAAATTATTTACCGCAAGTCAAAAGAAAATTGTACCCTGCTCTCCTAAAACGTACCTTGCACTATTCTTTGTACTTAAATTAATTATTTAGTGTATTGCAGCAATGCGAAATTTGGTAAAATGCGTACAAAAATTTAGCGCAATTTTGTCGCGTCGCCGTCGCTGAGAAAAAGCTAGAGATGTAATTCTTTTAGTGATGTTATCGATGGTAGCACATGCCTTATCAAATTACATCGATGTATCGATAATAGTACGAAATGCCTATATCCACATTAGACTTTTTCTATTTGCTGTTAAATTTGAAATTAGACTCATTGTATTAATGATAATGGCTTTTGTCAAACTCGAATAGAAAATTGAATTCTATATTATTTTCAGGAGCTTGCCATAATTATAATGATCGCGGAATACAAATTAAGACACGGTACTTATTGTGACGAAGTTTGACCTCTCAGCGTAGCGGTCATTAAGGCAATATCATGAAATTATCAGCATTACTCTCTGCGATGGTGTGTGCCAATTTCCGCCTAGTGGGAGCAAAATATATAGAAATATAACAGCTTCATAAATTCGATTTGCTGACAATTAAATATCAGATAGCCATTTTTATTTATATACCATACATGTGCACATAGTTGTAATATTAATAAAATAAACTCTGCTTACATTTGTACTTTTAAATTCTTACATCTAAAAATATTGATCATAATTGTATCTATTAGATTAGTGTTGTAAACTGCTCTTATTTATCGAATGGAAGTTACCCTTAAGGCGGCAAAACGAAATATTCAAATTTGTCATCATTTAGAACTACATCATTACAGAAGAATAAAACCCCGCCTAAGAGAAACGACTGGTTTTTACACTTGTTATACAAAAATTGGAATATTTCAATTGTTCTTGCTTATACATACGTACGTACATAACTGTTGTTTACATAAATTAATAAATTTCTACATATTGGACTCAGTTTCAATTGTTTTGACAAAGTAAGTTAATTCTATCATGCAGTTTAACCTATTCGAACTCAATTAGGTGGTTGTGCCTTCCAAAGGAACACATCTAATTCAATAGAATAACAAATCGTCTTTTATAAATTGCCGCAGGAAGTACAATTGTTGGTTAATAAAGTAAAAAAGGAGATAAATAACAAATCGCGCCCAATAATGGTTTAAAAGTATGTGGTGTTGGTGTGGTGAGCGTGTTGCATTTTGCTTAGAAGACATGCAAACTCTTTTGGAGCGTCGGAACGAATGCTATCTAGTGTTGCCTAGGAAGCGACACTAAACGAATTACTTTGCTTTCTTAGATTCCTTCTTTTTGTTTGTGCTACTGCTGCCACTGTTGCTGCTCTCTTCCTCCTTTTTTTCCTTTTTCTCCTTCTTCTCAGGCTTTTCCTCGGGATGGTCCTCATAGCTGTGGGCATTTGAAAACAATGTTAAGCTTGATTGTGATTGGAATTTTGACTGCTTGTTTGAGACTTACGCAAAGAGCACCTTAAGCTCGCCGCGCACCAGCGCCACCAACAATGGGGTGCCCATACAGGCGGGTACCAAATACAAGAGCGCAGGTTGGGCATGCTTAAATACGTGCATCACAAAGATCGTCGCCATCAGACCCAAGAAGTAAGCAGCCAGCGTTGAATAGAAATAAATGCGGGTCTTACGTTTCTTGCTATCGTCGAAGCGCAGCAGCAGGGCAATAAAAATGCCTGGAATGACAATGTCGCCGAGACCCAACATGGCAAAGTTCGATGCACTCAGGCCATGCTCAATGAGATCCTGTGGGAAAACTAGCTTGATGGGAGCCTCAAAGCTCTTAGCCACCGTCACCATGACATTTGTTCCAAACACCCAGAAAATATCGTAGAAAAATAGACCACTCAACAGAATAACGCCAGTCACGAAATTGTTCAAATGCAGCATCTCCACACCATTAATGGCAAAGGCCAAACCGAACAAGTTGTTGGCTATCCAGTGCTTCTTCAGAAGGTACCAAACGCCAATGGCTGACGAGATGACCAAACATACAATGTCGTGCGTAGAGAACTTGTAATTTATGATATCCTCCTTCTGCTTGCCCTCGCCCTTCGTAAAGTGGATGTGGAAGGGCACCTTTGGTACGGCCGCGGGCATCAGCGAGTTGATAATAGGACTTAACAGATGGGCCAATGCAATGACGCCTAACACAAAGAAGTAGCCGGTGAGCAGCAAGTTAATGTGCACCTTTGAGAACACCTTGAAGAACATGTACAGTCCAAAGAGAGCCGCCGAAGCAATAAGGGGGAAGTACATAGCGTCCTTTTTGCTCATTGTGTCCGCCTTTTCGCCCGTCGACTGGGAAATGCGTCCAGAAGAATATGCTTACAGTAAAAAAACAACTACTGATTTAAGTCTCACCTTACCTTCTTTAGTTTGTGCAGCTTGACGGAACGTATGGACCCAAAAATTATAGGCAACATCGCCATAATTACAAGACTACCATAGGCGACTGCCATGCCCTCTGGCGTCGAGGGCTTCTTTTCATTTGTTTGCGACTCATTTTTTGCATTCGCATCCCCAATTATACCTTTGATGGCTTCCCTCACGGTCCCAATAACTTCCTCGGCCATGACGATATATAGACTAACGATTTCCAAATTCTGTATTACAGGGAACCGTTTGGGGTAACAAAGTGACACGCAGCCACCACAACTGGAGACGGTAGAGAAAGAATCGCGCACACGTCAACACAACGGAATAGCGATTTTCGATTTCGATAACTGTCATTCGCCGAAGCGCGCACCATTGTGCTCAGCCAGAGCGATGGGTGTGCGCGCATCTTGTGAATGAATAAATTTCAATTGCAGCCGTTGATACGCAGCTCAGAACTGACTGCAAAGAGAATCAACGACTTACTGGGCCAATTACCTAATTAAATAAGTACTAATACTTTGGCACAGAGTGAGAAGCCCCGACCGCACAGCTTAATCAAGACTTGTGGGATACGACGGCGAAATCTAAATCTAATTGTATTGTGTTGGTGGGCGACGCTTTGTTGAATGCCAAGTGTTTTTGATTTGTTTTGAACATTCATACTGTGTGCAAGCTTTATCACATTTATTCCCTCAATTGAATGTACTTCGCTCTTATCTTGCATGCGGCAATGTGTGCAGAATTCCGCTATCCAGCTTTTCAATTGCCTTCTAGTCTCAGTTGAGTTTCTGAGCCCGGCCTGTACACACATTATAAAATTAGAACTCCGCTCAAAATACAATACAGAACAAAACTAAAAACAATCGTTTCTGAACTTGAGAAACAGAACAATGCAGAGCAAGATAAAAACATTGATTTCCGGCCGTGGGCAGCAAGAATCTTGGCTGTGCACGATGCTTTTGGTTTTATTCATGAGTTTACTCATTTCCGTGCCAGGCGCTAGTTGTAAGTATTTGCGATATAACCATTATATAATCATTGCGCTAACCCAGAAATGTTCCCTCAGCCGTCGAAGCCGAAGCGAATGAGGAGAAGATCGTAAATGTGAGCACCACAGACAGATTGTACATGAATTTGTTCATTAACTATAATAAAAACTCGCAACCCACTGTCGGGGGCCAACTCACAAACATAACTGTTGGCCTAACAGTCCACTATATAGATATTGATGAGATGAATGGCAAAGTAACGTTGCATGGCTGGATTCATATCGTAAGTATTCCCACCGATTAAACTAAGGAATGAATCAGAGTATATAACTCTAACGATGCATTTTCTAGCGCTGGATGGATGAGCGTCTGTCGTGGAATTTACGCGAGTATGATAATGTTACTCAATTGTCCTTGCGTCCTGGCGATGTCTGGAAGCCGCAAATAACGCTCTTCAATGCTGCCGGTGATGAGGGAAATTATCTATCAGATACTCAAGTATTACTCGTACATGATGGCAGCTTTCTTTGGGTGCGTATATAATCGAATATATTTACGTTCTATATCATTTTGAGCTTAGAAAATCTATGAAACATTCATAAGGGGACTCGTTTTAGCAGACTTTATGGCTCATTACTATATAGTTATAGTAGTATAGTATAGCTTATGCTTAAATTTTTGATCTACCGGAGCTGTAAGAAGTGCATCAAGAGCTTGTTTTTTATTATCCGAAGTGATCGATTTTATACATTAAACCGAAACGTTCAGTGTGGATTTGATAAATGGTTTTTATTGTAGGTACCTCCTGCCCTTTACATTGCCTATTGTAATCTTAACATGCGTAACTGGCCGTACGATCAGCAAACCTGTAAGCTAAAGATTGGTTCGTGGTCTTCAAACAACATTGATGCGGAATATTCAAAACAGAAATCCGCCCTCGAATACGACGAACTTCTTCAGTCTACGGAATGGGACATCTCTAGTGCGTCGACGAAATATGTACGCGAGGAGACTTGCAACTATATAGAGTTCACATTCACACTTCAGAGACGCTCCTCTATGTACACGGCAGTCATCTACACACCCGCTTTCACCATTGTACTATTGGCCTTGAGCGTATTTTGGTTGCCACCCCAAATGGGTGAAAAAATATTGCTCAATGGGGTGCTCATCGTACTGGTTGCCTGCTTCCTAATGTATTTTGCGCAATTGCTTCCAGTACTGGCCGAGAATACGCCGCTCATTGGTGAGTTGTCCAATCAGGAACTGACTTTAGAACTAACTTCAGCATCTTTCCGTAACACTTCACAGTTGTGTTCTACAGTTCCTGTCTGCTGCTCTTGAGCCTCTCCACCATTGTCGAGGTGGTTGTTCTCTATATATCCACCGCCAAGCACAAACGCCGTCTGCCAGAGTTTATCAAGCAGCTGCTACATGGCAAGCTGGGCACCGTCCTGCTCCTCTCCCACTTCTGCTACGAGGCTGACCCCAAGGGGACACATGGAAATTCTGTATCCCGAGAGCTGGAAGAGCATCTGTACGATAACGACGACGAATGTGCCAGCACTAGTCCCCAAGACATTAATCCCATAGAGATACCATCAGAACGAGCACTTCAATTCGATTGGGTTTTGTTGGCCACGGCTGTGGATCGCCTGTCGTTTGCCGGCTTCGGCATCACCTTCTTTGTGCTGAGCATTGTATATGGCTTGTAGAGGAATTTAACGAAGTAAAGTAATGTAATTAATACTCACTGGTTGTTCAACTGAAGTGTGCTATATCTTTTGTTTATGTATTTCTTGATCAATTTTTTATGTTTTATGTGCAAACTTAGAATTATATAATGATACCTCTATTTACATAGACACAGGTAGATACTATTGAGTGCTGTTGGAAAATATTTAAAACCGCAATAATCGTCAAATCTTTGATTTCAAAAGTGTCTTAATAGAATCATCATTGTTTGTATAGTTTTGTTTTAACCAAGACTTTGGAGGCTGAAAATTTCTGGGTACTCAATTGTCTCTCAACTCTTATAATGTATTTCTTGATTATTATTATTACTAATATTATTATTTTTTGTATAAACTTAAAATTAAATGAGACCATTGGTTACCACAGTTTACTGAAAAGTGCAATATTGAAATACTTGGGCCTGCAAGAATCGTTAAATCATCGACTTAAAATGCAGGTTTCGTGCCACCAATCTGTAACTTATAAAATTCGAAGGACATTCGAAGCAAGTTCGAGGATAATTCGAGTTTTGCGAGCTTCAAATATTTTCCAACGCCTTACAAATACATAAGTACATAATTTTAAAAGCATAATATAACAACACCAAGTCCATGCAGTGGGTTGGGGGGCTAAAGGTCTAAATTGTAACAAATTGGCGTAAGTCTAAGGACCATATTGCTTGTCTGCGATGCTCCTGCATTGCTCCATATTATCACATATGAAATTACTCAATTAACCAAAAGTAGCTGGAATTATGCGAAAATGACCTTTTTATGGTCCGAGCAGGCCATGCTGCGGGCTGGGTGGGAAGGCTGAGGCGAAGGTTGCTCGAACACGCTGCGGGTGGTCACTGCGCAGGACCAAACTCAAACCAGAGCTCCTGTAGTCGTTATAGCGTAATGGCAGCGACTACAACCCCAGCAAATTGGGGTTGACATTTCAATTAAATGCATTACTGGGCGGAGTGCGCTGCTGCTGATCATAGTTGGAGGCGCCTGCACCTGCTTCTGCTGCCGCTGTCCCTGCCTGAGCTGCTCGTGTTGCTTCACCGGCGTATGGGGCCGCAAAGACCGGCGGCACATTGCTGGGCGATGGGTGCGATGAAGCTGCCGACGGGGATGGAAATCCCAGACTGGAGCTTGTAGAGGCGGGCGAAGTGAGCTCCGTGCCCGCATGATGATGAAGGAACTGATGCGGGTGTGCGTGGGGGGCGAGGTGTGAGTGATGGTGATGATGATGCTGGGTGAGGTGATGCTGCAACTGCTGTTGCTGCTGCTGCAGAGTATGCTGCGAGCTTATGTGCTGATGGTGCTTATAGGAACTTAGCATATTGGCGGTGGGATCACAACCCTGCGCCTGTGCCTGGCAAGCGGCCATCAAGCCATGAAAGTCGAACTTGTAGGCATACCGTTTGCCATGGACTTTGGTCATAATATTCTTGTCGTAGTAATAGCTGCAGAGAAAAGACATAAAATAGGAGATAGAGAGCGCAATTAAAAACTAGTTTTGCGCAACAAATCGTGTGTGAGTCACGAGACAGGAATTGGCGCTCAACGACTGTCGACAACAATCATGGCAATTATACGCAATTTATTTTTTCAGTGTAGTGTTTTTTTCGCAGCTACTTACCGCAAAGCTCTGCTTAGCTTATCATAATTCATATTCGGCTTGGCCTTGCGCTCTCCCCAACGTTTGGCGACCTCGTCGGGGTCAATGAGGCGGAACTCGCCCGATTGCCCCTCCCAGCTAATGCAATTGGCATTCGACGAATCAGCGAGCAGCTCGAGCAGAAACTGCCACAATTGTATTTGGCCACCCGAGCCCTGAGCGACCAATCGGTGCGAGGCAGCGTTCAAAAGCTGATACGGATCTGAAAGCACAGAGAAGCACAGTAATAAAGCAACAGATACACACAGCCCAGAGGAGAGAGCGAATTGAGCGCACATGGATGTGCTCGTAGACGTGTGATGGTGTGTGTTTAAAGGGAATTGGAATTGGGAATTGTTGTTGTTTTTGTTGTTGCTGGTCAAGTTGAATGACGACGAAATCGCAAAAGCAAAACAACAACGATTTAAACGAGTTTGCCGACTTAATTCACAGAAAAATCAACCGCAAGTGCTAATAAATCCTGAAAAAATGGCGCGCAAATACATACACACACACACACATATGTGGGTGACAATCGAAGTCGCTGCTGGCATTTCTGAATGAGCAGACAGGCGACGCTGCAGGTACGAATATTTATGAATCTACAGTGCAATCTCCATTTAATAGAAGGTTATTATTTACAGAAGAAATGTGGGTACAAAGAAATCCTATTACACCATCCAAGTCATTCCTAAAACAAATATATTTACCAAGGATATTAAATAAACTGCAGAAAATAATAAACTTTTATCAATAACTTCAAAAATGTAATTATTTATTATACTTAATTTTACAGTATAAAACAAAAACTTGTCCTGCTTAGTGCAAGCTTAATTATTCCAGCTCTAATAATTTCCGAGAGGCATAGCGACTTGTCATACTGATCCAATGATGTGTCATATTCTCACTAACCTAGTACACACATACATATTTAATTTAGCCTTTCGAAATAGTAAGTCATTTAAAAAAAAATTTCCCCAATTGAACAGGTTCAATTAGTATTAAATTGAACAAATCGTTCTTCCTGTTCATGCACTTAAATATAAAAGGTGCTTTACATAAATACCGGATTTTGGAATTTCTTATTTTGCTCGAGTAGTTGGGAATTAGCATATCGAGTGATTACTGTGGCATGTTTGTTGGCAAGGAGCGGCATATTGCATACGTTTTGTAGAAAACGTGGCTATAAAACGAACTGCATTTATTTATAGCAGCTTGAACGGTTGTGGGTATTTCCCAGTCAAGCGCGGATCCAATGCATCTATCTAGGCGACCACTGACTAGGCAAGGCTGCACATTGGGAAGTACCGTTTTAATTAAAAAATAACCAAATAAACAAATACCACATGCACGAGTACGTCACGAAAATTATTCAATAAGCGCAGGTGACTCATGACAACAAATGTGATTTAAATTGTGCTCTTTTTATACGCGATTGGCGGCGTCTTTGGCGCCAACGATTTTCGGCAAACAATCCAACGGAAATACCAAAGGCAATATGCCAAAAAGCTTAAATTCATAGAAAATAGTATGTCAATATCAATGGGAACTCAGTTGTGCTAATCAATGACATCTATTTGTTTTTTTATTGCTAATAATATCTCGTTAGAATGAAATGTAGTCTAATGTGTTTATATGAAATAAATAGAAAATATATAAACAATTAATATTAATTAGCAGCTATTTTTGCCAAACTAGTGGCAAAGATTTCATGATATAATAACAAAGAGTTAGCAAAATGTCATTTTCGAGTAATATACGAAATACAATGTTATTTAAATGGAATATTTTATGAAAATGGATTACTTATATTATTCCTTATTAATCAATCCATTCTCATTAAACCAGCCACATTTTTAAAATTGTATTTCTTATATTAGTCGCGAATGGCAATTTCTATCATTTAATTATTATTTAATTACTTATTGTAAAATAATATACTAACAAAATTGCATAAAATAACTAATACAACAATAACTTCACAACTCCACCGCTGTGAAAAAGCCTAAGGATGTAAATGTATTTATTAGACGTTGCTCCAAATAATTAAACGGTCCTAATAGAACTAAACTTCTATACAGCTATAGCTCTTGATTTCCCAACCTTCTGTTAATTAAACGAAGAAAAGCTGTTTAAAATTTTAAAAGCCTTGTAAGATGAAATAATACTATACAGAAATTTGAAGAATGGAGCGACCATAAAACAAAACCAACAAAATAAACATGATTATTACAATACCAAAAGAGTGAGTTAAATATAAGAAAAGTGTTAAAAAATGTGTTAATACAGGTTAAAAATAAGAACGCTATTAATTTTCATAAAAATGGTAAGCTAAGAATAAAGACACAAGTTTCATTTAAAAAGGAGAAGATAACAAAACCATTTTCGTATTTATTGTTCAGATTAAAAATTGATCTCCAGCTTGATGTAATTGAATGTTATGAATTGAAAAACTGATCAGCAACTTGATTCAATTGAAAGTTATGAGTTAGTGAGCTATTTTGTTTACTACACGAGCATACCATTAAAGATCATGGAACTGTGCGCTGCACCATGATGATGGTGATGCTGATGGTGGTAGTGATGCATGGCTGGATGTGCGTGATGAGTGGGATGTGTTGCCGCCGGCGTTGGCTGCATTCGCAATCCGAATCGCCTGTTAAAATCCTCAGATAGGCGCCACATGACGCCCACATCGACGCTGACGCTCATGGTTTCTTTAAATTGTATCTATAGTATTTATTTGCACGATTCTAACACAATAAATTTACAAAATGTCACAGAAAAATATTTGATATTTTTATTTTTAATTTCTTTAGTATTTTTGTGCCAGAGTTCTCATGTGATTTCCAAGGAATTATTAGTAATATGTACAATATTCGTATAATTGTATTTATAGACTGTAAAATTTCCCAACTCAAGGTACTGTTTCCATCTTCTTATCAAGTGTTGTTGGGTAAATTTTCAAACCGTATCGCGCGAATGCCTTTGGGCAACTGACGCACGAAGCTCTGCCGCACAAGTTGCATGGCGATGTCGGACGAAAGTTTTCTTTATCAGTGTTCAGTGGATGGCGGGCTGGCTTCTTGGCGAGCCGAAACGAAACGACACTTTGACTACGACTTCGACGCTTCACCTGCGCAGCTGGTGGTAAATGCTCTGGCATTTTTGTTGGTGGGCAGGGTGCAAGAGTCAGGGGCAAGGGCAAGAGGGCACGTGCAGCCACTCAACGGGGGCGGGAGAATTCGTGACTTTAGATGTGTGTTTCTGTGTGTGGAACTGTAATCTACGCCACGACGATGTGTAATCCTCTTTGGCATAAAAAACAAATCAATTAAATCGACGTTGTCGCTCTTTAACATATGCCAGACCCAAATCAGTGGCTTTCGGTCGCGAAACAGGAAGGATGCAACGAATGAATATTTTCCTGTGGTAGCTGGACCGCCTGTGGCGCTGTTGTCACTGTCTGACAGGCCACGCCAAGGTGGTGAGGGGGCAAGCAGTCTGCCTGACGGCCTGGCAATGGGCGGTGTCTGTGTTGGTGCTCTTTGTGATTCGGTGACTTTGCAACTAGAGCGGGATTATTTTGATTTTTATTATTAGATGCCACATCCTGTGAGAAATTATCATATTTACATAGTTTATTATTAAGTTCGTCACTTGAAAAGCGGCAAAGTGGCTTTGTTACACCTCCCCTCCCCTCCCCTCCCCACCACACATTGTTCCGTTATTCATTGGCAAGTTAATAAAAGCCGCGACAGAATCACAGCATCAGCTTCGGCATCATAATGTGCGTTTAATGCGCCAAAAAGTGTTGCATACTTTGCCGCGTCTTTCGAGCGATTTATGTTTATGAGTGAAACTTTGAGTTTGCCGGTAATTAAAACGACGCCTTCCTCACTTGACTTCGGCTGCATAAATTTCAAGAGCTAGGTAAGTTTAACTTTAACAATTTCCAAGGTTCTTATCAGAAGCAATTTATTCAGTTAACACTCTACCCAATGCTAAAGCAACAATCATTCGATATAGTGGACATAAATGATCGAAACGTGGATATTTGTACAAAAGCATACACTTGACAACTGAGTTAAGCATATTCTAAAAATATGAGAAAGGATTTTAGAAAATTTGTATTTCAGAAGTAGACTTTGTTGATTTGTTCGAATATTGTCAGATTTAAAAATATATGAAGACAAATGTATTTAATTATAATACTACAAAACAGAACTCATGCAAGAAAATAACAAATATAATCCATAATCAATTTCTATTCAAATATTGAACAAAGCTGTATTATGGTTGATAGGTATTGGAACAGATCTATTACAATCTAAGCTTCATTTTATTATTACCTTCTATTATGAATCGGTCATGCTGATAAAGCTGATAAAACAATAAATAAAATTTAAAAAACCAATAATTTATAATCTTTAAACATCAAATCAAGGTATAAAAAAAACTCATTTTTGATTTTGTATCTTCAGAATTGTGAACAATATTCACGAAATTCTGAATCGGGGTAATAGGTAGAATAATTATAAAAAGAGTCCACATATCAATTTTATATAAAGATGCCAAGGTGAAATAAATTAAATATATTTTAAAACGAATGCAAAGTAATTAACAATTTTGTTGAAAATATTTTGAAGCAATATATTATCTATTTTGATAAGGTAATTTATAACAATGATACAAAAAACCAAAGCATCTATTAATGTTTTAAGATCTATTGCTGAATAACTTCAAAAAATAGTAAAAGAACAAACACTTTAACCTTTAAAGCAAAAACATTATTGCGAAATAATTTTAGAAAGTACTGTTCATTATAACGACTCTAGACTGTATGTCCCTCTTTGGCAAAAACAATCAATGCAACACATACGTTAGTTTCTATCAGCGTCCAACAATCTTAATCAGTTGCCATTATGTATCCGTTTGAAGGGCGAAAAGGATTCAATTGACGCTTGACCAACGCATGCCCGAGGATTTATAGCATAGACAGCCACTGCCCGCAACGGGCATTGTGCCTGGGACACTAAACGTGCCGCTGGGAATACGAATTCGCTGCCTCAATAAGACACACACACACAGACACACACATACGCGCACAGTGCAGATTTATGCCACCTGCGATAAGGTAACAAACATATCTTTAGATTGGCATTTAACTTACTTGGCTCATTCTCATTGCGCATGGGGCTTGTCTCCCGTCCCGTGGCATGGTAAAGAGTGAAGGCAAAGTGCTTGGCCAGGAGCATGCCACCACGCCTCGATCCGGCACAGACCCAAAAGTCGGCGCGACTCAGCTGACAAAGATCGGCACCCTCCTTGGGGAACCTCGTAATATCTGGCTCTGGTTCGATTTTGAACTTGCGTGTCAGCCACTTCACCCAGCTGGCAATGTCCTCTGTGGACCAGGCATGCGGATCGACAGGCACCTCCACAGGTGTAACCGGTGCACTGGAGTCGGAAGAGCTCGCTGCGCTTGTTTTCTCGCCGTCGGCAGTTCCCTCAGGCAAGGGCAATTGGAGTGCGGGTGGGAGTTTTGTTGTTTTAGCACAACTTCTACTGCTTTTGGATTCCACATCACTGCTACTGTTGCTAGTGCTGGTACTGCTGGAGCTGGTGGAGGAGTCTGTGAAATCGCTGGAAGAGCTGCTAGTCCTGCGACGAAATCGTGCAGTGCGGATTGTTGTTGTTTTCGTCGCCGTCTCCTGTTCTTCCAGCTGCGTTTCTGTTGCTTTTGTAGCTTCACCGACACTCTCCAGTCGGGCATCCTGTTGCATTGCATATAAGATTGCTGGCCCTGAACTCTGATTCGGCGTTGAATTGTAAACTGTTCCACAAATTGTTCTTTGGTTTTGATATTCCAAAATAGTCATTAAGTTTGTTATTTTATTTCCCAAACACTATTTATTTGCCAACTAAGTAGCTCTTATAGAGAGTTGTCTCTTCAATTCACTTTATTTCACTTTCATAAGCCGACAACGGCTGTCATGTATTCGTTGGTAGCAGGCATTGGTAATGTGTTCTTGGAAAAATTCCAGCCGAGTTCGCACATTCCTTTTAAACGCGACGACGGATATGTTTTATGTAGTAGTAGTAGGATGTTAATGCTGGTGATTCACCCACAATGGCTTTATGTGCCGGTACCCGCCAAGGGAATTTCATTAATTGTCGCAATAAGAAATCAAAAACAAAAAAAAACTTGTCTTTAAGTTTTTCACGTGTTGCGGAAACTTTTTAGCAACGGAAAAGTTGCTTAAATGCGGAAAAGTTTTAATAACCGTTATTGACTGACCAATTCAATTCTCGCGGCAATTACGATCTACTGCACTGCACTGTGCCGCCGAGATACGAAAGCGACCGACCAGATGCGCGTATGACGAATTAATGATCAAAGCTAAAGTACGATAGTATCGATGACGGTGCTAAAACCAAAAAGCTATTTTCCGCAGACGCGTGGCTAAACTTGCGCTCTCCCAATCTCCCGCTCTCAACTGTGCGATCTCCACCTTCCCCAATGAGGTGCCCAGTGAGAAATTTGAGCCATCATAATTAAATCTTAATCATCAAACCTATCTTTTTGGAAACTAACATAAATGGCCGGGGTTAAAAATAAATCATTTAGGAGTTCCTTTATAAATTAAGATTATATACTACAAAGATCTTAACCATATTTAAATCAGATAATCCCCCTTTTTTTTATAAAGTATTGGTCACGGCGCTTTGCAATAGGGAAGTTTAAAATTTACTTGAAAGCAACTACAATTAGACGTTTTTGCATTAAAAGAGCTATAACAAAAAAATTAATACCACCCAACGAAATCGATATTAATGGTATATTAAGAATTTGCAAACCGAAAATATAAAATAATCTATTCATTTAAAATATAAAATAGGCTAAGTAGGTTAAATCGGGCTAAATTTGTCCAATGAAAATTGTATTTTTCTTGTGACTAGTGCACTAATCTATAGGAATTTTTTTTGTAGCACTAGGAAATAATATTAACAAATAAATAAAATAAACATAGCTTTTATTTATCGACATTTTTAAAACGCTAAAAACCATCTGTATTCATTGACAATATGTAGACATTTTTCAGTAGTCTTTATTTGGTTTTATTTAGATTGTGTTTTATACTCTTATTCGTTGTATAGTACTATAGTTATTTGTTCTTTTTTCAAGCACACGCTCTTCACCTCATTTTCCATCGGCCCGCTTGATTTGCCCGTGCTGTGCTCTCTCTCGTGCTCTCGCTCTCTCGCTCTGCTCAAAACCGGCTGAGCTTTTGCACCGACTCTTCAACTCACAATCTCAGTGATGACGTAGGGACAGCGATGCGACTGTGAGTCATCCGAGCGACTTGTGAACAAACAAACCGGCAGCGAAAGCGTCATGACGGAGTTCCCCAGGCTTCGAGTTGGCTTGGCCGTCATTGAGTGGAGCGGGTGGGGTTGCGGAAAGGTCGTTCGTCGATCGTTTAGCCGACCAGAGAGAAATTCATTCATTCATTGATTCGCTTGGCTGTTTGGGTTGCTTGTAGCTTTTTGTTTTTGTCGCGTCATGCTTCTTGGAAGCAGGCATGAGTGTTGCGCTGTCGCTAAGTATTTTGATTTTGCTTATTTTTGGCCAGTAGTAGTATCTGCGGGCGGCCTCGAAGTACTTTGGGCGGCGCTTGTTCAGATGCCGAACCTTTTATGAACTTGATCGAAAATTGTTCTCTCTCTCTCTCTCTCTCTCATAATTCGCTCGACTATTACGTGTCCGTTTCGGCGGCGACATTGGTTTGCTGTTTGCCTTTCTATTTAAAATGACTATCTGCCTAGGCGGCGTAATAATAGACGAATGCTCTATTGAAATTATTTGAATTCAGTGCGGGATTCCGGGAAGCGTGTCTGAGCTCATAACATATAGTACATAGGATGTGTGGTGGTGGTGCTTGTGATTCATTTGGCGCCTGCCAGCACTTCAGATATTTGTATTTGCTTGAACATGACGCGTCACAGCACATTTGTAGATAATACGTATACGACTAGTTAGGTAGGGGGATTTACATTGCCGCATTGGCACAGTTACCTAGTGTACTGAAAGCTTTTTACTAGCGTTTACTATCTAAGCGCTTTCATTCATAAAAACCGTTCGTGATCTCTGAGTGTGTGGGATTGCTCTGAGTAGTTGTGGGATCGCTCATTCATTAATTCAACATCCGGTATTCAAATGATGAACCCGCGTTGAAGGTTTAGTGCAATTCTTCCCTAATCTCATCGTCTGCTTCGTCACCATCATCATCACTTGTTATTGTTGTTGTCGTCATCGTTGTTGTTGTGGCACTTGCTTGACGACCCGAATTCCAAATGAGCTCAAAGTCCAAATCACATTCTTTTGCAATTTTCAGTACGAGCGCCTTATCTAAAAGGCCGCTGGCACTCCACGAATTATCCTTAACAGCAAGTTCCTTTAGCGCACGTCCGGCCTCGGAGTATTGCTTGGAATAAACCAAGGCCCGCACTAGCATGGCCAATATGTGGGCGTGCCGAATGGGCGGCATCTCGGGCTTAACTGAAAATAAACATTAGATAAGCAAGTGAGAAAAAGTTAAAAGTTAACTGATATTGAACCTAACCCATCAAGATTTTTTAAAGCATTTTGGAGATAATTATTTGTAGGCTCTTCTGACTAATTTACTATATTTAGGAAATATTTAAGACAATTAAGATCATTAATCAACCATCGAGCTATTCTGTTAAATCGGTTGAAAAGAAAAGTAATATTGGTGCGACTCTCAAATCATAAAAAACGATTATTAAAATTAAAAATAAATAAATACAAATAGCTTAAAAAGCCAAGAAATTATTGCAAAGCAGTCGTTACCTACAAGTATAACACTTATAGAATATAGTAATCCGAATTGCTGATTTTGGCAAATGTTCGGCGCAATAGTTTAAAAACTGAGAAACTACTTAGCTTGTATAGCAACAATGGATAGATTTATAGATTTATCTTATCATGCTGACTATTTATACTTCTGAGTGTTATAATACCCAATCATTGGAGAGCTGGCGAGTCATAAGACCGAAAATACACATATAATACTCACTTAGCATGCCACGACAGCCACTTATAACCGTCTGATTGTCGCCCGCTCGTAGCGCCTGCTGCATTTCCAGAACACTTCTGACATCGGACAGTGTGCGCTGCAGATTATTATAGGCATGCTGTGCATGTCCCAGTTTTTCCAAACACTTGGATGCCTCCTGCATGGCCGTCAAGGCCTTCTCGTAGTCCTGATACTCTTCGATTTCGATTTGAGCGCAAATGGCATAGAAGTTGGCCAGTGAGTCGTAGGCCTGCCCCTTCGAATAGAATGTGATAATGTGCTTTAGAATTGTTGGATCATCTTGCCAGTTTAGGGCTTGCAGATAATTGGCCGCCATGATGTAGACTTCACGCTGGCGGGACATATTGGCAAAGAAGACAATCTTGTCGGTGTTGCCCGACTTCAATAGACTCTTCATGGCGCGCACTTTGTCGCCCGCCTGTGTGAACTTCTTGGTAGCGGTATGGTAGTCTCCCTGCTCTTGCAAGAGCTCGCCCAGTTGGATGAGTATGGAAACGCGTGTTGGCTCGTCGAATTCTGTCTTGCTGGGTGTCAGCAGTTCGGCCAGTTCCTCAGTCACTGGCACACCCTTTTCCAGGCAGATACGCAATGAGCGCTGCAAGTGCTTCGTCTTGGCCAGCAAATGAACGGCCTTCTGGTGTTGTTCAATGCTCGTAAAGAAATCGGCACAGCGATTGATGAGCTCTGAGTCCGATTCAGCAGTCAATTCCGTTGCTATAATCTCCAGTATTTCCGGCTGTTCCGATTCGAACGCCATTTCCAGCGCCTTGTGCAACATGCCCGCCCGATGATAGAGTTCCACAGCATATTTGAAGTTACCACACTCCTCGAAATAGGCGGCTGCTATGGCCTTATCTCGGCTACGCGATGAACTGGCCACTGTCCAGAGCTCGTCCTGGAAATCGTTCTCCTTGCAGATACGTATGGCATTGCTGAAGGTCTGAGCGCGCGTATAAAACATAATGGCCTCCTGAAACTTTCCCACATTCTCATAGTGACGTGCCAGATGATAGCAAGTGGCCCGATCGCCCGATTGACGGGCTATGGCATCCGCCTTGGATATTTTGCCCAGATAGCAGAGAATTTTGACCTGCGAGTACCAGTCCTCGGCCCTGTGGTAAACCGCCAAGGCCCCCTCCATGTCCCCTGAACTCTCCACATACTGACCCCACCATTTCAGCATCTTGGGATCAGTGGTGGTTTGTATGTAGCGTTTCATAGCCTGAGGATTCTCCAGCAGCAATTGGGTAATGTTCTGAACAGGATTCTGGGTCTTTTCGAAGTACTCCAGGGCACCTTTTATGTCGCCGCTCTCTTTTAAAGCCTGTGCTTTCTGGTAGTAGGTATTTTTTAAATGTATACGATCTTCCGTTTCGGCGAGTTTGATAGCCTCATCCAGTTGTCCATTAGCCTGAAGCAATTTATTGAGCAAATCGTAACGCTTACATCGCTTATACAGCTCCTTAGCCTCGTCAATCATGCCCAGCTCAATCGCCAGTACAGCTACCTTGGCCTCCTGCTCCAAATCATTGTCCTCCATGGCTTGACGCAAGGCGCGCACCGATCGTGCCTGCTCCAGATGACCCAGACAGACCTTGGCCACATCTAATCGGTTTGTTTTCACGCACATTTTCGCTAGATTCGTCCAGATAACCTTCGATTGTATGGATCGTATGCAGCGATAAGCCAAATCCATATTTCCCTCGGCAACGTGCAGACTAAAATTGAGCACTTGCTTCCTGGTTTCGGCATCGCACTGTTGCAGATCAGCGAAATCCTGCAATGGCTTATTCTCCACCGAATTTATGTGCAGACTGACGACATTTGGAATGCAAAGATTTAGCAGCTGAGCACCAGCAGTCAGCTTTTGGGATTCCAGCACATTGAGGGTGTATTTGTCGGTGTAGAACATAACCAAGACCTGAGACTCCACATAATGGCTTGGCTGTTGTCGCTGATTACTCTTGGGTGGTGGTTCCTGCTTCTGCAGCATTGACTTCACCTCCATGGCTAGCAAGCGGGGTTCCTCAATATCCCAAAAGACTCTCACCGGCAAACTGGACTTGTTATTTTCAGACTCCGCTGCAGAGCTCAAATCATATTGAAAGAGATTGTTTCTCTCGAAATTCCAGCAAAATAGAATGGCGCGTGGGACGAAGCTGCGATTGGCAATAACCACAGCCAAATGAGTGCCCAAGCTATTGCACTTCACCATAATGAATTCGCCAAAGTCATCGAAAATATCGTGACCAGATTTACTGGGAAATAACAATTTTGGATCATGCCGAGAGACATCGTAAGCCTTCACATAGCCATTCATGGTGAACACCGAGAGGTAGTAAGCAGTGAGATCCATGCCAATGATCTTGCCCTCATTATCGTTGGCTTGAATTCTGTTTAGTACGACGCCACCAATAGAGTAGACGATAATGTCATTGGAATTCAAACAGAATATGTTCTGATTTTGCAGGCACAGACCCAAACATTCGGCCGCAAAGGTTTGCATCAGTTTTACGCTCAGTGGGGTGGAACTCTTGGGCCCTGCGCTGACGCTACTGCCACCTCCAGCCGCTTCATCCAGCACTTCATCGAACTCATCCAGACTCTTGTCCACTTTCGCAACACTGTATGAGCTTATGTAACGACCATTGCTCACAATCAGATTCAAATGATTGAGGGCCAATGCGGTGACAGCAAAATCCGAATCCACACTGCACTGACGTCCGTTGCAGTGCATCAACAGCACTGTCTTGGCACTCCGTTGGACCGCCCACAACTCGCGCGTATGATACACGAGGAGGGGCTGCTCCTTCAGCATGTATACATTGGAGATGCAGTTGACTAGGATGCATGGCTTCGCGAGCTCATTGAAGCCCCACTCACAGCTCTTGACAGCGCCACGAACTGTGGATATATTGCTCAGTTGCCAGGCATCTTCAGGTGAGCCCACAAAGCAGCTAACAGCACGTTTCCATGTATACAGATTGCCCAATGAAGTGCCCGCGCAGAGCGTTTGATATTCCGTGCTATAGGCCAGACAGGTAAAAATTTCGTTGGAGGCTAACTGCGCATATTTGGCCGACTTGCGTTGCAGTCCGTTCGTCAACGATCCATTGCTCTCAGTGCTCTCCTGGCTGAAGAAATTATTTGATACCGAACTGGTTGCATGCCCCATACTCGACAGAGAAGCACCCGTTGAGCCTGTGGCATAGGAGCTAGGAAGTTCCATTTTTAGCAAATAGTTGTCACTGCGCTCAATATCCCATATGCGCACAGATAGGTCACCTACACAGAGTCATATTCAGATTATTACAGATAGATTCAGATTGTTAATTTCTTAGACACTTGCCCGTGATGATGGCCAAGCTATTGCCAGCCCAGGAGATGCCGCCCAGCTTGCCCATGCCACGACCACTAAGCTTCACGCGATCCAATTCCGTTAGTATGCCGGTGGATTCGACCAGAAAAAGCGTGACAGTCAAGTCTTCCATCAGACAAATTACTGCTTCCCTAGAAGAGAGAAGGAGGGATTTAAAAGAAATCAGGTTATTCCTATAACCAAGAGATTAGGTTGAGCCACCTTTAAATAATACCTACTTCTTGGGATGCCAAAGCATTTGCACAATAGGCGGCAGAGAGCTGTTCTTCATCACCTCGTTGCAAGCACCACCTTGATTGATGTAATAGATTACACCACCCTGGGTGCATGCGTAGAAACAATGATTATCACTGACGCCTGAATGGGTCATGCCCCGCACAGCTGTACGGGGACGCCAATTGGTGAGCGTGTCCAGTGCATTGTCATCTCCAGCCACTGCAGCCTTGGCCAAGCTCGCCATCTCCTCCCGCACCTCGCTCTCCACGGTGCGGCGAAAGCATATTAACAACAACACCTCGCGTAAGTCATGTGAGAACATGGTAAGGAACTGATACTGCCCATCACAACGCCAACCTGTGACCAAGCCCAAGGCGTCGGCCGTTACCATTCGTCCACCCTGTTCGCTAAACTCTAGCAGCACAATCGCCGCCTTGTGAGGTCCGCTAACGCTGGCGAACTCACGATGACCCGAAAACCAGACGTAAATGTCGCCATTTTCCCAGCCGGTTGCCAACAATGCCTTTTCTGGATGCCAGGACAATGCCGTGGCTTGCGATGCGGCATGCACCGGATATGTGACATCTCGCTGAGGCTCACCCTGAAAAGAGTTGCAAATATTATGGGTTCGAATTGACCCCAACACGATTTTCATACCGTATCTGCAAATATGGTCACAGAACCGCCGCGTTCCTGGCTATAGGAGGCTACTGCAAAAAGTGGCTCATTGAGGTGCCACCTGCTTATGGTGCTGACTGCATCCGAATCTAAAAACTCGATTTTTGTATCAAAATATAACGTCATTTTATTGGTTCTCGTTGCTGAAATGCATACAGCAAGACAGCTTATAAGCAACTGGCCATAACTATCAACCAGACAACGGTTGCCATAGACACGTATTGCGTGTTCGGTGCAACGAAAGCCCAACGGAGGACCGGCAGAAACAAAACATGTTTATAAAGAGTGGACACAAAGCGTTTATCCCCAAAAATGTCCATAGTAACAGATCTTTCCCTTGCTGTGGTCATATGTGTAAATTGTCTTGAAAACTGCGGGTATTTAAGAGTAGAGTCCGTTCGTCTCTAGCATACTTTTAAATAAGATCAAATTTAAAACAGACCCGTGATAAAGCCACTTGAATAACAAATTGAAGTTCGTTCTTTAAAATCTTGTGATTTGGGTCCATTTAGATCTATATTTTGTTTACCATAATTCACACCAAGTGAACAAATAAAATCTGAATTAAGCTGACATTTTCTCTAACTGGGAATAAAACTAATAAATAAAAAAAAGAATAAAACGTTAAAGTTAGCTAAGAAAAGACTAGAATGGAATGCTAGAGTCGAGTACGTTCAATTCTTAAACACCCTTAAACACTCCCACAAAAACAAATGTTTTTAAATTTTTTTTAGTTCATTTTTTTTTTTAATTAAATAAATTATAATTGCAGATTTTTTTAAACACATGTAAGATGTAAGAATTCTTTCCATTTAACATGTTGCTGAAATTGAGATTCAAATAAAAATGTAATTGTGCAGCCCTGTTACGCAATCCCCTTTGCTACGCTTCTGACAAGTATGCAAGCATTAAAGCGCACACAGAGACTCGCACACATAGAAGCGGCGGCACACGCAAGTAAATAGTGAAAACATGAAATCACCGGCCGAGTCTCGATTATTGCGACGCACTCGCATAGTTGGAAAATCAACATGGCCGAGAGCAGCAGCAACAATTTGTGGAAAATCGCCGGTGCGGTTATCTTGCCCAATCTTGGTGGCATTGTCAATGGGAGATTAACACGTCAACATATCCAAAATTGGTATGTAAATCTAAAATTTCCGTCGTTCAAACCACCCAATTGGGTGTTTGCGCCCGTCTGGACCTCGCTGTACGCTGGCATGGGCTACGGATCGTACTTGGTCTGGCGTGATGGTGGCGGCTTTACTGGTGAGGATGCACGTCTTCCATTGATTGCATACGGCACGCAGCTGGCGCTCAATTGGGCATGGACTCCCATTTTCTTTGGCCAGCACAATATCAAGGGCGTATGTTTATTAATCGTTCGTAAGAAGTTTCTTTATCAAACTAATGAGTGTTTTCCTTCTCTTATTATCAGGGGCTTATTGACATAGTCGCGCTCACGGCAGCGGCCAGTGCCTGTGGTGTTCTCTTCTTCAGAGTTAATAAAACTGCTGGCTATTTGTTTGTGCCATACATCGCTTGGCTCAGTTTTGCAACGGCACTCAATTACGCCCTTTGGAAATTGAACCCCGAGAAGAAGGAGAAGGCAATTGAGCAGAAAGATAATTAAAATTTTGCATAGTTTTAAGCTTTGGCCTGGCTGTGTAGATGCTTTGTTAGTTTTACCCCGTTAAAAGGTTTTATTCAAAGATATATTCTTGTTGGTCACAAATTAAATAATAAATCGAATTAATCGAACTTTAATGTTATCAGTATGTGTATGCGATAGACACCTTTCGATGCCCATCGATTTAAATTTGTATCGGTTAGTTTTTGAAAAATGCGCGGCGGCAAATGCACAGGATTTATATTTGCGAAACAAAACTGATTTAGTTGGGTCCACCTTGAGCTGGAGGAGTGGCGGATGCCGCAGTTGGTGGTGTAGCTGCCTTCGGGGAGGCCGTTTTTGGTGATGCACCGCCTTTAGGTGATGGCGAGGCTTTTGGAGTATTGTTTCTGGGAGACACCTGTGAGTTGGGCGTGTTTGCGGGAGCCTTGGGCTTCGCATCATTTGGTGCCACGGGCTGTTGCTGCTGCTGTTGTTGCTGCGGTTTCTGTTGCTGCTGTTGTTGTTGTTGCTGCTGTTGTTGTTGCTGCTGCTGCTGTTGTTGCGGAGCTTGTTGCTTTGGAGGCGATGGTTTGTTATTTTTACCCTGTGGTGAGCCGGCTTTTGGTGGAGTGGAGGGTTTTGGGGATACAGCGGGCTTCTGGCCCCCTTGCTTTTGTTGTTGATGGTGTTGCTGCTGCTTGTTGTTGGGATGAGGCTGTCTCTGGCCCTGTTGCTGTTGCTGTTGAGGTTGTTGCCCTTGGCCTTGTTTATTTGGTTGTTTTTGTTTTTGTCCTGGTTCCTGTTTCTTTGCGTTGGCTGAAGTTTGTGATTTCTGTGGTTGTTGCTGAACAGGTGGAGTAGTAGGAGTAGCGGCAGGGGTCGGAGTAGGAACAGCTGGAGTGGCAGTTGGGGTCGGAGCAGGAGCAGTTGGTGTGGCAGTAGGGGTCGGAGTAGGAGCAGCTGGAGTGGCACTAATTGTCGGAACAGGAGTTGGAGTAGCAGTAGGCGTTGGAGTAGATGCAGCTGGAGTATCAGTGGGGGTCGGAGCTGGAGCTGGTTGGGCCGCAGCCGGAACAGCTTGGGTCGGAGCTGGAGCCGCTATTGGAGCCGGAGCTGGAGCAGATTTGGCCGGAGCTGGAGCAACTTGGGTCGGAGCTGGAGCCGCTATTGGAGCCGGACCTGGAGAAGCTTGGGTCGGAGCTGGAACAGTTGGGGTCGGAGCTGAAACAGTTGGGGTCGGAGCTGGAGCCACTTGGACCGAAGCTGGAGCTGCGTTTGAAGCCGGAATTGCAGCAATTGGGGCCGGAGCTGCAGCAGCTGGGGTGGAAGCTAGAGCTATTGGAGCTTGTTGCGGTGGAGTAACTTGCTTCGGAGGAGATGGCTTCCCTTGTTGTTGAGCTGCCGGCTGGGGAGATCCTTGTTTTGGAGCAATCTCTTCTGTGGAAGCTTTTTGAGACGGTGCTGCTTGAGGTGCCGGTTGCTGGGCAGTTTGTTGAGTGGCTGCTGGTTGTGCTACTGCTGGCTGTTGGTTAACCGGTTTTATGGTTTCTATTTTTTTATCAGATGCAGCAATGGCTTGAACTGGTGCCTGAACCTGTTCACTTTGTTTCTTTTCCGATTGGGTAGTGTTGACTTCTAGTTTATGTTCAACTTTGATCTGCGCTGGTTCAGGTGCCTTCTCCACTGGAAGTTTGGGCTTTGCTTCAGGTAAAGGATCCGGTTTAACTTCAACAGGCGGGGCCGCTTCCTTGGGCGGTTCAGCAGCTACTATCTGAGCCAATGTCTGCACGGCTGGTGGTGTTTTCGCTTTGGCCGGTTCTTCAGCCTTAGGGGCAGCGACCGGTGCGACTGGAGCAGCAGCTGGGGCTGCCACCGGTGTAGATGGAGCAATAACTGGAGTTGGTGAAGCCGGAACTGCAGGTGATGAAGCAGGCTGAGCTGCAGTTGCAGCAGATGGAGATGAAATAGTAGTTGCTGGAGCAGAAGCAGCAGATATTGGTTGTGGAGAGACTGCTACTGGGGGCGAAGCTGTGACTGGTATGGCTGGAGCAGTAATTGGCTTGCTTTCCGCCGGTTTGGATTCAGTAGCCGGGGCAGTTGTAGGCTTTTGTTGTGCCTTCTTTGTTTTCTCAGCGATTTTCTGATTATCGACAGGTTTATCTCTCGGAATTGATTGTATTTTCTCAGGAGTAGGTTTACTTTCCTCAGACTTAACTGCACTCTGGTTGTTTCCCTTGGCTTTGCTGGGCTTCTCCACTGGCTTCTTATCGACTGGAGACTCAGTTTTCTTTGGAGCTGCATTCTTATCAATCTCTTTTTTCTCCAATGGCTGTTCGTTACTCTTATTCTTATCCTTTTCCTGGCCCTTACCTTGGGTCTTTTTGATGTTTTCTTTAGGTTTTTCAGTCCTTGTGGCTTCAGGCTTTTTGGATTTGTCATTTTGTTTGGCTTGTTGTTGTTGCTGCTTAGGTTCCTGTTTCTTACGTTCCTGTTTGTTTTGCTGCTTGGCTTCTGTCTTTTCTGTTTTATTCGTGTCGTTAGGCTTTTCAGTCTTAGCATTGGCATCAGCTTCGGGTTTCTTGTTGTCCACTTTTCCAGCATTTACTTGTTCTTGTTGCTTCGTAGCTTCGACTTTGGCAATTTCATCGAAATCTCCAACCAGTTCGGGCACCTCGTCATCATCGTCTGGGGCGCCAGAGGCGGCAGTACTCGACTTCTGATGCGACATTTGGTTGGCATACATACGCAACTGTACCACCGTTTCCTGACCCAATTGTGGCAATATTTCGGGCAACATTTCGACAACTTTCTTGGTCTCTCCATGGCCAGTGACTGCAAACGTGTTGGCCGAAAGGGAGGCCTGTGCCTTGGGATTATTAAAATGTATGACAGTAAGGTCGTCCTTGATGATGTTGACTTCCTCAATGCCAGGTATGGTGCTGACCGACAGCTTCTTTAAAGAACTTTGCAGCTTCTTGTCATCAGTGGCCGCCGTCTGGTGCATGACCTTCTTCTTGCGGCGAGGCGTGCCTTTGCCTCCAATACGGACTTGCGCCTGCAGGCGCTTCAACTTCTCCACATTCATTTTGCAGACCAATTGCAGATTTTCAATAGATACTATACATAAATGGTAAATATGCATATATGTATTACATAAAGTGATCGCCTGCCTACAAATTTACCTTAGATGCGGATGCGCGCAGATGATGTGTGATGTGCAACTCCACGGGCGAAATCAGCGAATGCAGCGACGCTGCCAGTCTGGCAACCGATCCACCTCGATCCAAACGAGAAGCCAACGTTAGCAGCGCTGCTTTTATTAATATAACGCAGGCGAGAGCGCGCGTCTGATTTATTTTTGTGATATTTTTGCAGTTTTGTTTTTAAATTCGTTTCGCAAAAATGTAGCCGCCGCGCAGTCTTTATAAATAGAACTACATAAAAACTTTTCTTCAACTCGCTAGCTATAAGCACACCCCATGCTTTAGTTTGTGAGGCAATGCGGCGTATGGTTGTATTCTGGCGTCCACGGCGGCTGTTGAACTGTTGATGTTAATGTAGCTCTGGACGTCAAGAGAGAGCATCGAAAATAGAAAAGGAATGGCAAATACGCACGGAACGCTCCCGACAGCAGAGCAATGTATATGTTATTATATATACATATAAGTGAAAATCTTAAGAAATGTGGCAACATAAAGTCGAAAAACTAAACTAGCCTACAGAAAAGGGAAAAGTGAGCAAAACACATTTACTGCTGAGCCTGTTGCTGGTCGTGATCTTTGATCAGTTTGCCGACGATCTTAGTGAGCTTATTGTACTCAAAGGAAGCAGAAGCGTCGCAAATCTGCTGATGTATTTTCATTTCATGCTGGATATGCTTTTCAATTGAATCATACTTTTCCTGCTCTGCCTGCAGTTCGGCTAACATGGCCATGTTCTGGAGAAGTCCAAAATAATGTAGAATAACAAGCAATCGCAAATATGGAAAAGCTTACCTCCCGATAACGACTCTTCAGCTCTTCCAAGTGTGTAATTTTCTTTTGTTCATCGGCTGCTGTCAGCTTGTGTTCCAAGTCAAAATCCTGTATTTGCAGCACATATGGAGGAACATTAAAGGTGGCGCTGTCCAGCTCACGCAATTTTGCGAGTTTTTTATCGCAGGCTCCTTTAATCTTACCCAACACAAAGTATTTTTGCTTTGCCAATAGTTCGGCGGTGGCTGGTGTCTGGACTTTCTTGATGGCAGTGTCCAAAGCATTACTCAGCAGTGAATGTACGAGTTGCTCGCCTGTTAAATAAAACAGCTATAGACTCCCAGCAGGAGTAATTTGTGTAGCAAGGATAAACTCACGCTCGGCGGATACTTGTTCAGCTGTAAAGTTGAAGTACTGTAAGTTGTACGTCATGTGCTCCAGATTGGTATTCGTAGAGTTCATTGCAAGCGTTTAATTACATACAAAAATAAAAATGTAAACAAATTATTGACCGACGCGCAAATTTTAAATGGCATTTTATAACCTATCGAGTACTTTTTTCCTGGCACCGATTTTGTTATCGCTATCGAATTGAAGACCGCGTGAAAAAAAACCGGTAGAAGTAGAATCTCAGACGTTAAGAGAAACGGATGTTTCGTTTCAATCACCAATTATGCACTTTCTACGGATCTGTGCAAAAAACTTTGTGCCGCGCGTAACGCGCCATTTGGCCAATGTGCCGAGAAAGCCTCACATCGTGGTCCATCCGGATGTGCAACACGCCTTGCAACATGATCACCCAATTGTAGCGCTCGAATCTACGATTATCACGCACGGAATGCCGCACCCCGAGAATGTGGAAACAGCATTGCAGGTAGAGGAACAAGTGCGTAGCAATGGTGCTGTGCCGGCCACGATTGGCATCATAGACGGCAGCATTAAGGTGGGTCTAACGAAGGATGAGCTAACTGAGTTGGCTCGGAAACCACAGGAGCAGGTTATTAAATGCTCGCGACGAGATTTGCCATATGTGGTGGCGATGCGGCAAAGTGGAGGCACCACTGTAGCGGCTACTATGATTGTTGCTTATCAAGTGGGCATTAAAATCTTTGCTACCGGCGGTATTGGCGGTGTCCATCGAGAGGGCAATGTCACTATGGATGTGTCCGCCGATTTGGTCGAGCTGGGACGTACACCTGTAGCTGTCATTTGCAGCGGCGTCAAGTCAATACTCGATATACCTCGTACTCTGGAGTTTCTCGAAACTCAGGGTGTGTGTGTGGCCACATACGACAGTCCCGATGGACTGTTTCCAGATTTTTACACACGCGATAGTGGCTGCAAAGTGCCTTATAATCTGCCATCTGCCAAGCACGCCGCGGAAATGCTGCGTGCGTGGCGTAAACTTAAATTATACTCTGGTGTGCTGATTGGCGTTCCCATTCCTAGTGAGTTTGCTGCCGATAAAACTACCATATCGGCTGCCATTCAGGAAGCGCACTTGCAAGCTAAAGCGCAGGGCATTACTGGGAAGGAAGTGACGCCTTTTCTGCTTGCTGCTATTTCACGAATCACCAAGGGAAGCAGTTTGAAGTCCAACATTGCGTTAATCAAGAATAATGCGGCAGTTGCAGCACAAATCGCAAACGCATTAGCAGCACGCCACTTGGCTATTGATGTCGGGACAGTTGGAGGAGCGAGTAACACTCGACTTAAGAAGCCAATTGTGGTGGGTGCATCCATATTGGATCTATCGCTTACGGTGAACGAAAATAAGCGTGACATGAAGCTGGACGGAGCCACGTACACAGCAAATGCAAAGCAGGCAGCAGGAGGCGTTGGACGCAACATAGCTGAGGCCATTTATAAACTGTATGGCGACGTGAATCTCATTTCAGCAATTGGCAAAGATCAGTTGGGCAAATCTTTGCTCGAAATGATGCCTGCGGCTCTGCAAAGAGGACTCGTCGTAGATAAAGAACGCTCCACATCGCTGTGCTCCATAATCTTTGACAAATTCGGCGACTGCAAGCTTATATTGGGGAATATGGAAATCCACAATAGTATTACCGCTGAATGTCTGGAAGCGCACACACAGCTATTTGCCGAGGCGCCGTTGATTGTAATGGACAGCAACGTGTCCACCGAGGCAATGAAGGGTGTGTTGCAACAGGCACAAAAATATAAATTACCTGTATTCTTTGAGCCAACAGACATGTTTATTGCGGGCAAGCCATTCACTTTACCCCGCGAGCTGACCCAACACATTCGAATTGTAAAGCCAAATAAGCACGAACTGATGACCATTGTGGAGGCTATAACAGGTCAAAAGGTTAACTACAAGTTGGACGGGCAATTAAATAAGTCCCAGCTACTTCAACAGACTAGAGAATTGTTAAAGCAAATAGAATCTCATTTCAATTGCATCATTGCGACCCTGGGGGATCATGGCGTGTTGATTAGTTTTCGTTCTGATGCTGCACAAGATGCTCGCCTCTTACTTGACTTGCCCATAGCAACGCCAGCGCGACCTAAGCTACCGCATAATGTCCGCTTCTATGCCGCGCCAATGGTGCCTAACATTATAAATGTTTCCGGAGCAGGCGATAGTTTCTGCGCTGGCTTCATCACCGCCCTTCTCAGGGCTCGAACTTTGGATGAATGTGTGGCTGCTGGTTTTGTGGCTGCCGAGCGAGCTCTGCAATCAGAATCCGCAGTTCCTAAGACCTATTTTCGCGACAATGAGGCATTCGAAAGCCGATACAAACAGGTGCTCACGACACTGCAACAACAGCAGTGCATTTAACTACTAAGATATGATTACTCAGGGCATAACACTTTATTACTTTATATCTCCAAAGATTGTGCAGGTTTCTTTTAGATTTAAAAACAATAGCTGCCATGACGACTGGTCGTTAATAGGCCCAACTGTAAATCAAATTAAATTTAGAATTGATTAGTCTTTAACTATTGTGTTTAATTGAACTTACAGTTTAATGACTTTATCCTTTCCTGCGGATGCCACACGTGAGCCGTCTGGCGCCCAGTCGACGCCAAAGACCTCATCCGCATGTCCTGGTAGCTCCTGTGCTAATTTTTTTGTTTGTACGCTCCAAACTGAAAGTAATTTCTCTTACAATTAATTGTAGAGACTAGTAAAAGATAAGCCCACCTTTCAAAGTGGAGTCCTTGCTGCCAGAGACTATCAGACGCGAGTCCGCTGACCAAGCTAATGTGTATACTGCCTGCACATGTCCACGGAATGTTGCCATATATTTACCATCTTGGGCGCGCCACAAACGCACCGATTTGTCAAATGAAGCCGATGCAATCAGCTTCACGTCAGGCGAATACTTCACATCGTTCACAACATTCTGATGGCCAGTCATGCGCTCAACGCATTTGTTTTGATTGGAACGCCACAAGTAGAGTGTATTATCATCGGAGCAGGAGACAAACGACTCTACATCGTCCGGGCAGACTGCCTTGTAGCGCTGCAGAGCATTGGCTTTGAGCTCCTCCTCTGCAAGCAAAATAACAATGAATGCGGCTGCGGTTGTTCAAAAGATTGTCACACTTACTTTCAAGGTTTGTGTTTTTCTTCGCACGATCCGTTACAGGATGAAATGGACCAGTCCGTAGAACATAATCGGTATTCAGCGCAATATTGTTCACCCAATGCGCGTGGCCAGAAAATGTGCGACACAAGACGCCGTCAGCTGCGCGCCACATCTTTACAGTGCGATCCTTAGAGGATGTATATATCAGTCCAGCGCCGCCCCAGCGCACAGCTGTGACGGCATTGGTGTGACCAGCAATGTTGAGCAAACACTGACCGAGAACCACGTCCCAAATGCGACAGTCTCCATCGCTACTTGCTGAAGCCAATTTGCGACAATCGGGATTCTGGTGATAGGGCTCCCAACTAAGGCCGTTTATGTGCTTCTTGTGCCCGGTAAGTGTGCGCCCCACTTGCTTACCTGTCTCAGGATCCCATATGATGATATTTCCCGCCTTGCAGCCGCTCGCCAAACGTTTGCCATCGGGCGCCCATGAAACACAGAGCACCCACTGCTTGTGGCCGGTGCAGGTGAAATGCGGCGTCTCAGTATTGAGATCCCACAGACGCACTGTAGTATCTCCGCTGCCGCTGGCTAAATGGGCGGCGTCAGGACTGAAACTCAATGAAACTATTGCCTCTGCATGTCCTGGCATAGAGCTCGTGCATCTCGTGACGGGTCGGACTTTAAAAACGGCCTGTGGTTGGTAAACAATGTCGACAACATTCTCTGTGTCAATTGTTGTTAAGTCCAGAGTGTCATCCAGTGACTTTTTTATCTCATCCTCGCCCACAAAGAATAAATATGGAGTGGCTTCTTCATTTTTAAGCAGCGCATTACAAATCAGACCCAACTGTTGAGTTGTAACGCCTGCCGGCAGATTTATAGGCGGCCCAGCTTCTTCGCCTGAATCGGAAATCAAACGCGCCTGAATCGTATGAGGAGGAGCGGCATCCTGTGTGGGCTCTTCGGCTATTTTCTGCTTTTTGGCTAGCATTATAGGAAATCTTTACGTTCAACAAATCGCGTTCCGCCCCAACATAGACAATAACAAACCACACGTGCTCCTCTTCTTCTTTATAACTGACATTCATTGTCAGAGCATTCAAAAATATATCGATGAGGATGTACTTCGATACATCTATTATTAAATCGATGGTGTGCAATGTATCGAATAAAAACATAGATGTATAGATGTTTTATTTCATCACTAACAGAAATTTATTGTAAATTTGCAAAATGGAAGAGCTATTAAATGATGTGGTACCTCAGGAGGATTTGGAGGTTTGTAATTTAATTAATCTGTATCTACTAGTGATTGCTAATGTTCGTTTCGTTGTAGAGATTTGAAAAAAAGTATCATCATGAACAAGAACTCGATGGAGAGGTCTCGACAGAAACAAAGTTCGAGTATGCCTTTTGTTTGGTTCGCAGTCGCTACACAAATGATATACGCAAGGTAATTTTAGTATTACGTAGTAAATTGTCGAAGAATTTTCATTTCAATTCTCTTTAATTAGGGTATTATGATATTGGAGGAGTTGGCGCGACTACATCCAGATGGACGCCGCGACTATATCTACTATTTAGCGTTTGGAAATGCCAGAATCAAAAATTACACAGAGGGGTTGAAATACTGTAGAGCTTTTCTTGAAATTGAGTCGAATGACCAAGTGCGGTCGTTAGAGGTAATTCCCTTATCCGTCGGTGTTATATAGTAGCTGAACTAAACTACTAATATAAATATCGTTTAATTTTTCTTAGGAATACATAAAAAAACAAAGTGACAAGGAAATCGCAAAGGGTATGGCTGTTGCTGGTGGCGCAGCTCTTGTGCTTGGCGGTATATTGGCTATAGCTATGGCTAAAAAGTAATACCACTATTGCTTTAAAAAAAAGTACATACATTTATTATGTATGTATATGTATTTATTTGTCTATATATATATATGCATATTTATTTTATGTTTTCGAATATCATTACACCTGCACATAGATTTAGTTGTAAAGACAATTTTAAATTAAAAGCCTAAGTTACTGGTACAATAATCGACAATTTTTTTATGCTCTACTTGTAGTAACCGAAACCGAGACAAATAGTGAATTCAAGTCCCATAGATACAATTTGCTGGAATTTAATTCCTACATAACGAGTTATAACCTACGTTGACGTTGCAGACCCCTTGATGACGCATTGCTTGTCTAGCTTTAGGATGACTAATTTCGGATCATACACACATATATGTATATCAACATTTCTTTTGTGATTATTTATACATTCGTCGATTTAACAATTGTTATCTGCACCCTATTATAAATTAAAATTAAAGGTTACACACAATTTGTTTGCGAATTAATTTTGAAGCGGTTGTGTTCTTTTGCACACTTTTAAAACAGACCTTTCAGCCCTCTCTAAATATGAGTCCTTAATAAATTAGCAAATGCTAAAGATGCAGAAATCAGATTGTAATTATTAAAAAAAAACAGTGGTTTATAAACAGACTACTTCATGGCATCTTTTTATATTGATTCGTGTTATACTAAAAGTTGTGAAATGATATTTAAGCTGAAAAAGTTAAGCATTGGCACAACAATAAATCATACTAACTATATAACGAAATGGTTCGTTCGACGTCATTTCAGAGCAACCAACAATGAGGCTGCATGTTTCGCCACCCTCTTATCTTATCGCAAATGTGGTGTAATGATGTATAGAGCATTTTTCTTTAGTGCGCATGTACATCGCGTAAGCTATTGTTATACCATTCTATGAATTGGCGTCGTGGGTGAAAATGTTAACCATTCAAACCCGAAGATGGTAAATAGTAGATTTGGGAAAGAATAAGAATACTAGAAACTAACAACATGTTTGAAACTAGTACGGAACTTGTAAGAATGCAAGTCAAATTTCGTTTCTATTTTAAATTGATAAGTTTCCGGATCAAACCAATTTAATGTTATGCATTCGTCCCAACATTGAAAAATTTCCATCTGCTGTGTCAAATCCATTTAGTTGTCATAAGAACAATATGATTATGAGGTTTGAAAAAATTGAATCTGAATTTTCAAGACTTTATAACAAAAGTTAAGAAACTGTAAAGGTTCAGCTATTCAAGCGTACCATAGAATACCCGAGTTTGCCAATGGTCGAGTTAAATATTTCATACCCTGTAGCTGAAGGATAAAAAGATCATAATAGGTTTGTGCAAAGTCTACTTTGCATGTCATTCGATCTATCAATACTATCCACAATTCTAAAACTATATCAACTAAGGAAATACTAATACATACATAATACTAATACATAATTTTTTTAACGGTAGAAAACGTATATCACATTGTGAACAAATAATCATATAAATGGGAATAAATAACAACTTTGAACAATCATCGATACATCTGATGCATCGGCTGATATCGATACATTGAAAAAGCAAATTTATGGGTTCTTACACCACTAGCGCGAGTTGGTTTGTACGTTTAGTGGAAGAAAAAATGGAAAATATAGCGCGTACTCATGAAGGTAATCAATAAAAATATGAGAAAAGCAATACAATAAGCGACAGACATATTACTAACATGTTACACGCACTTTGAATCGCTTTTAATTATCCATATCGTACCGGTGCACTTTTGCTACGACCCAATCAAGAAGCGGAGCCGCAACGCATGGTTAACTTTCGTATTTAATTTGTTTTGTGTGTTTCAGATATCGAGGCGCAAATCTCTGACATTCAGGCGAAGAAGAGTGAAATAGCCAAAACCACTGCAGCGGCGGCGGGCGTGGGTTTGTTGGACAGTGGCGGCTTCTTCGACACTGACTTGTATGATGATGAGGCGGTGAAGGGAAAGGGACGCTACGAGGGCTATAATACATCAATAGCAGCCAACGATGAGGGCGACGAAGATGAAGATGATGGATTTCCAGTGCCGCAAAAGCGCACTACATATACTGCACCAACATCCGTGCTTAAGGATGTTACACAGGGCAAGGAGGACATTGATCCGATGGCCGATAGAAGACGCCCTACAATTGCGGATCGTGAGGATGAATATAGGCAGAAGAGACGACGCATTATCATTTCGCCTGAGCGTGCTGATCCATTTGCCGAAGGTGGCAAGACGCCAGACGTGGGTTCTCGGACCTACACAGACATCATGCGGGAGCAGATGTTAAAGGGTGAGGAATCGGAGTTGCGTCGACGAATTCTTGAGAAATCCAAAGATGGCACGCTGGTTAAGTCCTCAAATGGCGAATCAGCGCCCAAAGAAGGCGGGCGCAAACGTGGCCGTTGGGATCAAACAGTGAGCGATAGCTTTATACCAGCCAAGGTGGCGGCTACGCCGAGCAGTGCAGCCACGCCCACTTGGGAAGATGTGAGTATTGGGGAGTATATTCATACACCATTTATTAATTTGAGTTTATTTTTTACAGAAAACACCGGGAGATCATCGTTGGGATGAGACTCCTGGTCACAAAGGCAGTGAGACGCCTGGCGCCACTCCAGGTTTGAGCACACGCATATGGGACGCTACGCCGGCGCATGCTATGACACCGGGTCATGAGACGCCTGGCCATGAGAAATCGGCGCGACGGAATCGCTGGGATGAAACTCCTTCGAATGCCACAGAGCGTGAAACGCCGGGCCACAGCGGCTGGGCTGAAACCCCAAAACCAGATCGCACGGGCAGCGGTGCAGGTGAGAGCATTTCCATTGAGTCAACGCCTGGTGCATCAAAGCGACGCTCCAGATGGGATGAAACGCCGTCAAATGCTACGCCCGCTGTAACTCCCACAAACAGCGCTATGACTCCCAGCATGACGCCTTCAATGACGCCGCATGCAACTCCCGGCCATGTCACACCGATGTTGACACCTGGAGGTAGTACACCAGTTGGTGTTAAGGCCATGGCCATGGCTACGCCCACTCCTGGCGCTTTAGCTGCCATGACGCCGGAACAATTACAGGCCTACCGCTGGGAAAAGGAAATCGATGAGCGCAACAGGCCTTACACTGACGAGGAATTGGACCAAATGTTTCCACCCGGCTATAAGATTCTGCCTCCGCCGGCCGGTTACGTTCCATTGCGTACCCCTGGACGCAAACTAATGGCCACACCGACGCCCATTGCCGGCACACCGGCAGGATTCTTCATACAAGTCGAAGATAAGAATGCAAAATTTATGGATAATCAGCCGAAGGGTCAGAATTTGCCGTTTATGAAACCAGAAGATGCACAATACTTTGACAAGCTATTGGTGGATGTCAACGAGGATACACTATCGCCAGAGGAACTGAAGGAGCGTAAAATCATGAAATTGTTACTGACTATCAAGAATGGGTCACCGCCGATGCGCAAGTCATCGTTGCGGCAGATTACAGACAAGGCACGTGAATTTGGCGCTGGGCCGCTCTTCAATCAAATTCTACCACTGCTCATGTCACCTACACTCGAGGATCAGGAGCGTCATTTGCTGGTAAAGGTCATCGATCGTGTGCTCTATAAACTGGATGATTTGGTACGCCCGTACGTACATAAAATTCTTGTTGTCATTGAACCCCTGCTGATCGATGAGGACTACTTCGCGCGCATCGAGGGTCGTGAGATTATTTCGAATTTGGCCAAGGCGGCAGGATTGGCCACCATGATTTCCACTATGCGTCCCGATATTGACAACATTGACGAGTATGTGCGTAATACTACGGCGCGTGCATTTGCTGTGGTTGCCTCAGCTCTGGGCATTCCCTCGTTGCTGCCCTTTTTGAAGGCTGTGTGTAAATCGAAAAAATCTTGGCAAGCTCGTCACACCGGTATTAAAATTGTTCAACAGATTGCTATCCTCATGGGCTGCGCCATATTGCCGCATCTGAAGGCGCTCGTAGAGATTATCGAGCATGGCCTAGTGGATGAGCAGCAGAAAGTTCGCACCATTACGGCGTTAGCCATTGCAGCTTTAGCCGAAGCTGCGACTCCCTACGGCATTGAATCGTTCGATTCGGTGCTTAAGCCTCTGTGGAAGGGTATACGCACACATCGCGGCAAGGGTTTGGCGGCCTTCCTCAAGGCCATCGGTTATTTAATTCCACTCATGGACGCCGAATATGCCAACTACTATACACGTGAGGTGATGTTGATTCTCATCCGTGAATTCCAGTCGCCCGACGAAGAAATGAAGAAAATTGTGCTCAAGGTGGTGAAGCAATGTTGCGCCACAGATGGTGTGGAGCCGCAATATATCAAGGAGGAGATTTTGCCGCATTTCTTCAAGTTCTTCTGGAATCATCGTATGGCCCTGGATCGGCGTAACTATCGCCAGCTGGTAGACACTACAGTGGAGATTGCCAACAAGGTGGGCGCATCTGAGATTATCAATCGTGTGGTTGATGATCTGAAGGACGAGAATGAACAGTATCGCAAAATGGTTATGGAAACTGTGGAGAAAATCATGGGAAATCTGGGTGCAGCGGACATTGACTCCCGCTTGGAAGAACAGCTTATCGATGGCATTCTTTACGCATTTCAGGAACAAACCACTGAGGATGTGGTTATGTTGAATGGCTTCGGTACCATTGTCAATCAGCTGGGCAAGCGTGTCAAGCCGTATTTGCCACAGATTTGCGGCACCATTCTATGGCGATTGAACAATAAATCTGCCAAAGTCCGTCAACAGGCGGCAGATTTAATCTCGCGCATTGCCGTTGTGATGAAAACCTGTCAGGAAGAGAAGCTTATGGGCCATTTGGGCGTTGTGCTATACGAGTATTTGGGTGAGGAGTATCCCGAAGTACTGGGCAGCATTCTGGGCGCTCTCAAGGCAATTGTTAATGTCATTGGAATGACGAAAATGACGCCACCCATTAAAGATTTATTGCCGCGTCTAACACCCATTCTAAAGAATCGTCACGAGAAGGTGCAGGAAAACTGTATCGATCTCGTGGGACGCATTGCAGATCGTGGCCCCGAATATGTGTCGGCACGTGAATGGATGCGCATCTGTTTCGAGCTGTTGGAGTTGCTCAAGGCCCATAAAAAAGCCATTCGACGCGCCACAGTCAACACATTTGGCTACATCGCCAAGGCAATTGGACCGCACGATGTGCTCGCAACGCTACTGAACAATCTGAAGGTGCAGGAGCGACAAAATCGTGTGTGCACCACCGTAGCCATTGCCATTGTGGCCGAAACCTGTCGTCCCTTCACCGTCCTGCCAGCTCTTATGAACGAGTATCGTGTTCCCGAGCTGAACGTGCAGAATGGTGTCCTCAAATCGCTGTCCTTCTTGTTTGAGTACATTGGCGAAATGGGCAAGGATTATATATACGCAGTGTGTCCTCTGCTGGAGGATGCGCTCATGGATCGCGACCTTGTGCATCGACAAACAGCATGCGCGGCCATTAAACACATGTCCCTGGGCGTCTACGGCTTTGGCTGCGAGGATGCGCTCACCCACTTGCTTAACTATGTGTGGCCGAACATCTTCGAGACATCACCCCACTTGGTGCAGGCCTTTATGGACTCTGTAGATGGTCTGCGCGTCTCACTGGGTCCCATCAAAATACTTCAATATACGCTCCAGGGTCTCTTTCATCCGGCACGCAAAGTGCGCGATGTCTATTGGAAGATTTACAACTCACTCTACATTGGCGGTCAGGACGCGCTGATTGCCGGCTATCCGCGCATCACCAATGATCCAAAGAATCAATATGAACGCTACGAACTGGACTACATGCTTTAAAGCCACTAAACAGCAACGCGTCATGACCTTTTCAATTATGATTTTAAAAAAATGCAAAGTAATAAGAAATACAATATACGAGCGATGACAAGATATCATGCACCATCATCATGAAGTTTTTGGTTTCAACTTTGTACAAAACAATGATTTATTCTAAATTTTAATTTAGAGTAGCTGCAGTTCGAAACTACTTTCGACTAATAATGTACTTTTGGCTTACAAGATAATACAAATTTGGGCGTGGGTGTGTGTTTTTACGTTTGTACGAGGACCCAGCATTGTGAGAATCCACGATTGCTTGGTTGGAATCAAATCAACGGGGCGCGACTGGCTACGAGCGTGTTTATCTCAAAAGTTAACACCCAGTATCAGGCGTTGCATAAACGTATCATATGTTTGGTCGACCTTATAACAATATTTGTTTTGTGCGTGGGTGTGTTTCTGTTCCTTTAGCTGTTATCGATTGAGAATTGATTGAATCACATTAATGAGGTTTTCCAAACCGAAGAGATAATTGTGATCGAGTTCGACGGGACTAGCGGGGTACACATGCGCAAAGTCAATCATGCGTACTCGTATCCACTCAGATGGTTCCATATCGCTACTGATATCCGTCCGTTCTTCTTTCCTGAAGTAACCATTGTGTAGGGATTTGGAGCCTGCATGCTGCAGCTGAGCGAAGTCATAGGATATGAGCAAGGAGCTAGCATAGAAATGAAGCAAAGTCTGTCGTCGGAACCATCCGTGTATATTTTCCAACTGTCGTAAAACTTCGTGCAGAACAATGTCCACACCGTTGTCGATCGTCTTGGAATTACTTGTGGACGCATTGAAAAATAGCGCCATGGTCTGTTTGAAGCCTGCCACATTTAGACTCTTTCCGTAATCCTTTCCATAACGTTTGAGCTCCGGGTGTTTTTTTGGCGACTCTGTCGTCTCTGACGATGGTAAGTACACTTGAAAGCCCGGCAAGCATAATCCCAGATTCTGTTTACACTCGACATACTTCTGCTCTTCGAGCGCACGCTTATGGGGCGATGACATTGGATCCCAAGTACGTTTTCCAATTTTTATGTCCATAATGCATGGCAAAAGCATTCCGTGTGTTAAATCATCCAATTTTACAAACGTGTGCTTCCGCTGATTCACAACCAGTTCGACTTTTTTATGGTAACGCGGCACGTATTGTGACAGCTCAATCAGCCATTTGTCGCGGTCATCGCCGCCGCCACCTTTACGGTCATTGTCTGCAGTCGCAGAGGCAGCAGCAGCAGCCACTGACTCATAAAAATGCAGTTCACGCACTCCACACTCCGGTTTTCCTAACGGTTTTAAAACGCATCCCGCTTTGGCGTCTTGGAGCAGCCCAATAGCTGCTAAATTAGTAGCCTCAAATGTGTGTCCAGCGACCTGGGTGTGAAGCTGCCTAAATCCGGTGGGTAGTTCAATTACTTGTTCGTTCTTGGCCATTATTTCGCGCTCGCGCCCGTCTGGTTTGTCGACCTACGATTGTTTGTTTGGCTACTTACACAACTATCGATGAGCCTACCAATGATATCGATAGTATGAGTACAAATAGGACTGTTGTGGTATCGGTTTTCAGTTTAGTGCTGCAGAATACGTGAATACGCTAATTGTTGCTGCTGTATTGTCGCATTGACGGGGAGTGGTTGTTGTGCCTTTAGTTTGTCGTTAATTTAACTAGTTTATTTATCGTTTGAATTGTTGCACAATATTGCTGTACACATTCGGACTTCGGTGGCTTTAACGGGAAGAAGATGAAGTCCTGGCAAATAGCTGTGCTGGCGCTGGCTGCTGTTTACTTTTGCAGCCAAGGTAGCTTTAACTAGCCACACCTTTAAATGGTGACACAAACAATAACAATTCTTTTCTCCAAATTAGTGAGCTTTGTGGCTGGTCTGGAGTGTTATGTGTGCTCGAATCAGACGGGAAATACGGAAAAATGCTTGAATACGATCAAAACTTGCGAGTCCTTCGAAAACACCTGTGGCACAGAGATTCGCTGGGGTAGTCAGCCCTATTTCTCGGAAGGAGCGCTAAAGCAGTACTACGTCTCGAAGCGTTGCATGACGAAGGAGCAGTGTCAGTCCAAACGCCGACGCTATATGCAGCTGTACTGCACACACATTTGGTATGAGGACTGGGCATGCCACGAATGCTGTCAGGGCGATCGCTGCAATTACTTCGTTATTGTGAGTGCGAAGAGAGGAGGAGACACAAATGCTGTTGGAAATGAAAACCTACATTAGGATTAATTTCCAACAGCTTTGATGTGATGATTCCTCTTAGGATTTTTTTAAGTATCCCTAATGTAATTATTTTTTCTACAGAGCGCTGCTTCGTCCCGTTACCAAAGCATATTGTTGTTGGCCACGTTGCTTACCGGTGGCCTCTTAATTAAGTCCCGAATTTCTATATAGGATTTGTTCAGTTGTGACAATAAGCAGAAGTAACAAACAACCTCATAATTTCTCTCAACGCACATTCCAATGCGCACATACAAACATGTGTAAGTACAAGGACAATGCACATACATGAGCTTGTCCACCGTCCTGCGTCCATTTCTCCTACATATATGTATGTATTTGTAATTTCTATCCGTCCAAGTGCCCTTAACCGACAAAGTGTTTGCAACGTTGCAAAGTCTTTTTTATATCATTTTTAGTCTACGTAATTGTTAAGACTCGAATATTTAAAACGCCCCTTTTTGGCAAAAAAATTGATCGGAGTCCGTCCAATAAAGCAATATTTTAGCGTTTTGTTTGACGCTCAATTGTATTTTGTGTAGTATAATTAATAATTATTTGGCACAGAAACAGCCTGCGGTCACAGTGACCGTTTTAAATTCCCAGGGTACGGATGGACCACGCATCAGAACTTTTACCTTGTACTCCAGAGGCCTGCAGTTGGCGCCATGCATGCACTTGGCATCCTGGTAATCCCTGCCAGAGCCTTTGGAGCGGGATTCACAAACGGCATTCATCAAATAGCGTGGCACATGCTGGGAGCCCAAGTCAATCAGTTCGTTCTAGAGAGAAATAGAAAAAGAGACTGAGTTTTGCAGGCAGCTACTAAGGAATGCAGTCTTGGATTTGGCAACAAACCGTAACTTTGCAATCACAACCGGCGGAGTGCACATCGTTGCGTTTGGTGGCCAGCAGATCCTCATAAAAATCATCATAGTACATGGGCGGCAGTTGGTGTGATGACACTGCTGCACCTTCCGTATCTGTGGGATAGACAGGCGTGGGCGCTGGCGTGGTTTGTTGAAAGCCAAAGAGAGCTCTCAACATGCTGGCGCTGTTGTGATCTAGAATGCCGCCAGAATCTAAGCCCCGCTTAGCTGGTAGGCTATCATCACTACTGCTGTTATCCACATCTGTGCTGAAATTGTCCAGACACTCGACTGGAATACCCTTCTCGTCCCCCATGCTTGCATAGCGACCACAGCGTCGCCAATAGTTGGACCTCTTCATGCCGCTCTCCGCATTCGAATCCTCATATGGATTCGGATGACGTTTCTGCAACCGATTGCAATCGCTCAGAGCGAATAGCAGCGCCAGCGCTGCAAGCATATAAGCCAACTGTGGAAAAGGAATGAAATGTCATTTGGTTTTAAGAAATAATTTATAGTTAAAACGCAACACTTAAGAGTAAGAAAATTAATTATTTAATGATACAAGAAAATTAGATTCAGAGGCAGAAAAAAAAAATCGCACTTGATTGAAATCCAAATTTATTATTGGAATAAGAAACGGCAATTAAGAGTTGGGGAATATTTAAAGTATTTCCATTTTTTAAACGATTCAACGCTGAACGAGACTTGAAATACTCTTCGACTTGGCAACATTATAGAAATGTACTACTTTTCTATAGTTTCGGTTTATCTTACGACCATTATATTCTCTTAAATTGGTTTCACACTCACCCATGGCATGCCTCCTTGTTCCGTGCGCCTGCAGAGTCAAGCGACCTTTGCGCTGACAGAGGATGCTGAATAGCGCTTTTATAGTCTGGACTCCGGGCAGGACCAACAACCAACAATGACACGACTCGGATTACCTTCTGCGCGTGAGTGAGTGAGTGATTAAATGTGTGAGTGAGCCATTTGGCAATGTCCATTGTTGTCGCCGTCACCTGGACACTAGCAGCGTCAATGGGCGAAACAAAAGGGTCAGCTGTTGACATAATAATAAAAGGCGTACCAAAGGATCTTGGTGGGGACCGTATTGTGTGGACGGCTATTTTGGTCAGCAGACATGTGTGCACAAGTGTGTGTGAGTGTGTGGGCGGTATGCCGGCAATGTGTGGAAACAGAAGCCCGTAATCAATGGTTTTAAAACTTCAAGTGTTTGGCAGCGAAAGCCAAACAAAAAATAAAAGGACACAGGGTATTGGGATCCAGTGACCCACAGACATAGACATACATATGTATGTACATATGTGGATATGTGTATCACAAGGAACCTGCTTATGCGCATTGCCCCGCGCCGAAAAGCTCGGCTATGAGATCATAGGCCGCGTGAACGGCCTTTGTTGGCTCGCAGTCAGCAAAAGGTGCAAACACAGACATTTGGCTGGAAGGCGGGCATTGTTATAGCTGGAAACGGTACACTATACCTATACATACCTACATACATAACTTGTTGTTGTTGTTGTTGTTGTTTTAGTCGCAAGTGTCTCTTGAACAGAAATAGAAAGTAAGCCCAGTGGATAGGCCTACACGACACATTCATGTGTTTAGGTTAGACATGCTCAAGTCGAAAGCGATAAGGTTTTGAGAATCTTATTCTCCAATATTAAGATATTTATGTAGGCCCTTGGAAATATTTTGACAATAAATACATACATATGTTCAACTATTATTAATTTTCCCATGGTTATGTGAATAGACTTCACTTTGTTAATATTTGAAGATAAATAAGAAGAACTCCATGCATATACGAGAAATGATAGGACTTTCTTATATACCTATCTTAGAGTTTATTCTATAAAACTAACAGATAAATCTAGCTTTTACATTTTGCAACAATGAACATTTGACAGCCATTTAAATGTCTAACTTCCCGTTGAATGTGCAAATAAAGTTATAGAATTGTTATAATTGTCTGATTAAGGCTTAAAGGAATAATTTTTTAAAATGGTGAACAGTTTAGGTTCAATGTTTAGATAACTTTGTGATCAATTGATTTAATTGTAATTGTTTTTGAAAACGAGAGAAGGCAATATTTGTAGAATTAGGTTTTCCATTGCCCTAATTTCACAGGAATTATTATTACTAAATTCCTTTTCGAAGATCTGTTAGTGTTTAGTTAGTCTGTTAGTTAGTTTAGTTTAGTACGTTAGTTAGTATTTTCTAACCCAACTCTATGGTTTTCTGAAGTTATCTTTTGGAAGCTGTGAAAGCTTAAAATCCGTTGAAAATTACAAGTATATCAAGAGAAATTTAGCAATTTTATTGTTTTACGTTATTTAATTATGTTATTTTTATATTTCAACTTTTTGTAATTTTCTGTTTGTACATTGTTTGGGAATTCCATATTAATATGGAATATGGTTATTCTAAAATCTACATTTCTTTCATACGATAGTGCCAAATGGGTCCGAATGGGTCCGAAGGTTGGAAGAATTGCTTATTAAAATCTATTTTCGTTTTCTATTGAATAGTTCGTTCGTCAAGGAGTTTTGCGGGTTTACAAAGTTGTAGTTTGAAACTCTGTTCTTCAGATTTTGGTTTTTTATGTCTATAGCATATCTTTAGGGATTTTGTAAGCCTCGAATTTAATCGCTGCACCGTGTCTAGTGTAGGGTGCATAAAAAGCAGGGATAAACGGCATGGCGCAAGAAACGCAAAAATTATTTCTAGGGCTTCATTGACGAAAACACAAACACACACATGGGCGCAATCCTCCTTTAGTCAGTCAGAGCTGCGGAACTCAGTTTGTCGCGCGTAGTTGACTCGCACGGTGGCCAGGTCTTACAGTTTAGAGGAGAGCGGCACAGTTTTGCAGCCGCAGAGCATTTCAAACTGTAACGAGTGAGATGGCAAATGAATGAGGCGCAGTATCCTCCGGATTTGTGTTAAGATTTTCTCGCAAAGTTTTGCAAAAGTTTTTGTCACAAATACAGAATCTGCATAGTGGTTGTTCTTGTTGTTTCTGCCATTGCTGTTCTTGTTGTGCTTGTTGTTGTTATTGGTACAGTTTTCCGCTTGAAAAGCGCCGAAGCCTTAAGAGTGTTCATCGTCGTCTCCGTTGTCGTCGTTAGCGGCAGCAGCGACGTAAAAAATCAACAAAAATCGTTAAAAATATATAATAAAAAAAAACAACAACAAGAAAGTTTGACGATGTTACGATTTGTGTAAGCCGCGTGGAGATTGTTTGTGTGCATATATTAGATAGTTACGGAAGCTACATACAAGTATTTACTCAGGATTCGCATGGAAAAAGGCACAATGAAGCGCAAGCAGAGGAGATACAGGTAGAGATTACTTTGGAAGCTCTCAAATCCAAGTGATACTTAGCCATCTATATTTAATCTAAACAGAACGACATTTAATACGCTGCAGCTGCAGGAGCTGGAACGGGCCTTTCAGCGCACCCACTATCCGGATGTGTTCTTCCGCGAGGAGCTGGCCGTGCGTATTGATCTGACGGAGGCACGGGTGCAGGTCTGGTTTCAGAATCGACGTGCCAAGTGGCGCAAGCAGGAGAAAGTGGGTGGCATGGCTGGCGATTATAAAGAGGGGCTGGATCTGGATGAGCTCCATGGCCAGAACGCCTATGATGACAGTGTGGTGCTGGGCCACCTGGACAGTGCTTTGGGTATGCATTATCCTTTAGTTATCACCATAATTACACGCAGAGAAATTACTTTAGATGCAGGGAAAGCTAATCTTTCTAGCATCGAGCTTTTTTATAGTTCGAATAGGTTATTTTTATGTTTCGATAGCTGGAATTGTTAGTTTCAATTGTCATGCGGAATTTAAAGTGTTAAATGTTCCTGTTTCTCTGTTATATTTCTGAATTTAAATATTTGGAAAATTCTGATTGAAATAAATGCACATTGATCAAGAATTACTACAATTTCCAGCTGGGTCTCCTTGTGACCTTTTAACTCACCAATAGAGTAAATAAATCTTTTACATGACAGATTTATTTCTTTGTTCATTTTAAAAGGAATTTTTAAAATATATAGTTCTTAAATTTGTAAATGAATGAAAATTCTTAAAGCAGCAGCATGAAAAGGTTTTAAGAACATCAGAAAATCAATTCCACTTTTTGTAAAAAACTACTTATGTTTGCTCCTAATACTTGCAATTACAAATTTTAAAGTTTTGGGAAATCGGATGAGGCTTTAGTATTAAAATAATGTAAGCTTAAATAATTTAAAAACTATTTGAAGAACTTTGATAAAATCGGTACCCATTTGAGTTAAAAATGTAGACACATTCGCAATGAAATAAAACGCATGTTTCCGTTACCGAATTTAATTCAGAAAAACTATTAGTTGGAGCAATTAAAATAGGTTCAATGTAGGAATGGGGAAGTGTAGCTTCCGCTTAATTCGATGGATTTTCAAAACAATTTTTAAATAAATAAATTATATTTCCCTAATATAAAATAATATTTACCTTTGCTTTTCCAGCTGGCAGTGGCACCTTACTGCCTGATACACCGCCCCAGTCCTCTAATTCGCTGGACAATGAGCTGAAAGCGCCCTTCGGAACCGGCAATTTGTCGCCTTCACGACTCTCGCCCAACATTTTTCTCAATCTGAACATTGACCATTTGGGTCTGGAGCGCGGGGGCAGCGGTCTATCTATGGAATGGTCCACATACCCGCCATCCAGTTCGTTGTGCGCCACACCCGCCACGCAACAGGAGCAGCAGCAACAACAACAACATCAGCACCACCAACACCAACAACAGCAATTGAGCACGCAAAGCTCTTTGGATGCCACACACCAGCAGCAACACCAACACCAACAGCAGCAGCACCAACAACAGCAGCATGATCTATCCAGTGGGTTTAGTGCTTCGCTGGATCTGGACATGAACGATGGCTCCTCCACGTACGACGAAATGAAGTTTCTTAGCGTGGATCAGTTCACGATCGATAGCTTCAAGGCGGACTGTATATTAAGCATGGAGCACGGATTGTCTCTGGACGACAAACACGCCTCCATCTCCGTCCACTCCTACGAGCATCAACAGCTGCAGCAACAACACCAGCAACAACAACAACAACAGCAACATCAATCTTCGAATAGTTCGCTGCAGTTGCTCAGCAGTTCTTCGGGCAATGTGGACAACTCTACGCTGCACTCTTTGTGTCTGGATGGTGTGACGGGTCTGACGCCCTTTGGCAGCCTCTCCCTGCTCTCCGCCGTAGAACCGAAATCGCCGCCTCCCTCACTGCTGGTGCTGGACAAGACGCTGCCCTCGCTGAGCATTGGTGTGGATGGCATTGCCGATCTCGTGGACGACATGAACGCTGCAGTCCATCAGCTGCATCATGATGTGAGCGTCGGTAATGGGCGCGGGGATGCCAGCAATGTGCTGTAAATTAATGAACGTCCAAGTGAGAATCGAACGTCTAGTTAATGTCATTGTGTGCCTAGTCTTAAAGTTTATGTGTTATTTTCTAGTAAATTTAGTGAGCAATATGTTACAAAGATAAGGGCAAGGAGCCACAAATTATAGAATGAAAATAATAACCAAAAATCAGCAAACGTGTCCTTGACGAAGTTTCTAAACTGCCAAGGCACGCCGCCCTGGCTTGTTTCCTATGGATTCCTGTGCCAGGCGCGTGTGTTAGTGTATTTGTGTGTGGTATTAATGAAGGTGTATGTGTGTGTGTGTGTTTGTAATGCGCACAAAGGGCATTGAGTGGCACACAAATGCTCCCGCAGCTCCCTCCGCTTCTGGCCTCCTCTCCTTGCCCTGATACTTGTGTTTAGCCCTCGTATTTGTGGCTCGGATTAGAGCCGGCTAATTGTGCGATTTGAATGGATTTGGGTTTCAGTTTGTTGTTTGTTCGAAAATAACATTTGCTATTTAACAATTGTGTTGCAATAATTGTTGTACTACATGCTCGTAGTTTGTATTATGCCGCCAGGTCACAATTTCCCTTCACACTGCCGCCACAACATTCTCCAATAAATACGAAAATGGCAAAAAGCGAATATCTTGCTTTATATATTTTTTGAAGATTTAAAAATTGATATGGGGAGGTATTTGCTTCTGTACACAAAGTATTAAGAATGGAAGAATGTCTAAAGTTCAAATGTATGTAAGAGGAAGAAGAAGGCGATGCAGCCCACATATACTTATTATATATGTACATAGACATGTTCGTCTTTCCGTCCGTTTTCGTCCTTCCGCCATAACCTTTGCACCATACATCACACTTGGTATGCCAATGGTCTATTATTTTGGAATACTTTTAGCTATAAACGATATTTTAACTTTTATTATTCATGTAATTTGTTCTTTATCTTGCATTGCTTTTTATCTTTCATTTATTTTTTGTTAGGTCTAATAACGTCTCTGACTACTCTTTTATGGACAAAGCTGGCCGTTTGGCAAATAAAATTCCCCCATTTAGACATTTTTGTTATTTCTAAAGGCTTTGTTTTTCTTTAGTTTTATCTATTATAAGTTCTGTATTGTCTTGATTTTTTTCTCAAATTCTGTTTGTCGATAAAATAAATAAAATAAATAACATAAATAAAATAAATAAAATAAAATAAATTAAATAAATAACATAAATAAAATTAATAACATAAATAAAATAAATAAATAATCGGTTCAAAAAGCAACTACAGTTGTTTCTATATATTTCGATATTTTAACCCGATTTGTCAATTTTTGCTTAGTGACCAATAATGCGCCCCGATTCCCAGCAGATCAATAAATTATAAAAAAGTAACCAAATTGTATATTCATGAGTTCTATTTTTTTTGGGAATTATTGGTACATAAAAGTTTATTTCCATTCAAGTCTTATGCTAGAATAATCTTTTTAAACACTTTTTTAAAACTTTTATTGCCATAAAATAGTAATTGTATTTAAATAGCCAAAAAGCACATGTACAAAAAAAAATAATACTACCTAATGTTTTTTATAAATATTAAAATGTTAACGCAAGCACTTTCATATTCCTAGTCCATCATAGTTCATGGCAAAAAGTCCTTACCTAAAATCGTTAAGACCCAATGGCAGACAACGGGCTTTGGGATGCTTAACAGCATTTTTTCGCTTCCTGTTGTCAGTCGGTCGGCTCATCCTCATCCTGTGGTCCAGGCTTAAAATGAGCTCGACTGCGAACGAGCCGCTGTCGTCTGTGGCAGGGCGGTTGGAGCTTGGCGGGTGCAGCAATGGGTGTGGCAATGGGTGTACCTGGAAATGCTCAGCAAGCTTAACACCTTCGTAAGCTCTTTGTCATGGGCCTGTTCTGAGGATTTGCGCCAGTGGGTTGGCTGTCTGTATTGGTTGCATTGCCGCCAACTAACTCCTGCTGACAACACTGGAGGCTACGGTTTCTACTCATTTGATGCTCTCATTGGCGCTTACAAAGAGTCCTGAAACGCAAATGCTAATTACGCTGATGAGGTGGCAATGGCAACGCTTTATTCCGCCACTTTGGTGCACAGCGAGGTCCTGGCCACAGCCTGGCCACAACACATACAAGGGCACAGCGTGACGTTTCCACTTATATCTGAATGCTGCTGCCCTTAAATAATATTTCATTATCTATTAAAAGGCCAGGGGTTGAGCCTGTCTGGCTTTTCATTTCCTGGTTGCCATTGGATAATCCTCAATCCGTGACAATATGCTTGTGGTGCAATGAGGCGTGCAAGCCGTGCAAGCCGTGCGGTTGATTGCCCACATCTTGCTCAACATTTGACGGGCGATCTGATATCGAACTTAACGGCATAATTTTTTAGCCTAATATGCCCAAATTATAACATTCTAGGTCTTTCAGCTCGTTAAACCTTTACGTAAGTTTGGTTTCAGAAATGAAAAATAAACTTTTGTGGTCAACATCTAATGGAAAATATCCCTTTCTACGACTCAGATTTGGGCAAGTGCCTAAAAATAGATTCTCGGGGGGCTGACTTAGCAGTGAAAAATCGTTCTTATTTGTAATCTAAATCTAGGCAGTTTTCAATTATGGCAACTAACAATTAGAAGAGTTCGGATAACTATCGTCACATGTTCAGTTTTATATATTTTATTAAAGAAGTGCTGCAAATAACAAAAGACATTATTATTTATACAAACATATACATATCTGAACGATAATTAAATTAATAGAAGGACAGATTTAATTTGTATGTTTAGTAAGTTAAGCGCAATAGTTAATACATACTTTACAGAATTTTGTCGTTTTTCCGACATTTTAAATCTTTATTTAAAATCTGTCCTTAATGGGACTATTATTAAATTTGATGACAGGTTTCAGGGGAATAAATTTTAAATTGAATTGTATATGCTTATACTAAGCTAAGTTAGTCTATATCGAAAGGTAGGTTTAGTTGATGGTGCCTATTTATCTTTCTCTCTGTCATTCCTTTCTTGTTTTTAATTGAAAATAATTTCTTACATTTACAGACATATTGACGGAATACTTGGCTTATTTTTAGAGAGCTTAACAAATTTGTTTGTTGCGTCTGAGTCACCAAAACATATATCTCTTATTTCTGTATAATCAGCTATATAGTACATGCTTTGATGCGATAATGTGTTGAAATATTAATTCAAAAGCAACTGTATAGAAGGAATCTTGTTGTTTTGTTATATTATATTATAGACCAGCGACTTACATAGCAGTGTTCAGAGAAAGTTTAACCAACTTTCCAGAGAATCCCAATTAATTGAAAATGTTAAGAGTATTATAAACTTTCCATTAAATTAATTAATTAAGCAGATAATTCATGGAAACCAGAGCACCGGTATCTAAATGATTCTTTCATAAGCCGGTTTTGAAGCCGTGAAAGCGTTCAAAATCAGACAATTGTTAAACATTTTTCGTACATTTTTCTCTTTTAGCAGTCAAAAAACAAAATATGCTAATTATGTACCATTTTTTTTAAATTACTATTATTACATTTAATTTTTTTGCATAAAAGTATTTGAATAGTCTCGAATTTTTGGCTTATTGTCATTTTGATGAATACAAGGAAGCGTAATTTTCAAGGAAGCGTAATTTCTTTGCAAAAAATGCTCGAGTGAAAGTGGAAATTGAATTTTCTGTAAGAAATTATATGCATTTAAGAAGCTTCTGTGCTCAACCCGAGGCTGTGTGCGTTTAAAAACCACAAAGTTAAATCGATAGTCAAATATGCGGCAGTCGGGCTGGGTGGCTCCATAGTTGACTTAACCGCCTGGCCCATTTTGTATGTGTGGCGACAATGTCTGGAAAATGTTACTAACCCAAAATACGAGCATAAGCATATTTCTACGAGTATGTACAATATATATGTATGTATGTGTGCTGATGATTTTATGAACAGCAGCTGCTCCATAGTAGTTTCTATAGACTGTGTTGTAATTTCTCTAACAATGTGTTTATATTTTATATTGGATTCGCCGGCGGCTGCATAAACGCAGTAATCGCACATTTTATGGATTAAACTCACCTGCTAATCTATTGAAAATGTAGCTAAAGGCCACTTCAGTAAAATTGGTCGATATGTTGTGCTTTGTGCCAAAGTTGGATTATGTTAGTGCTGGCTGCTTTTATAAGAAAACCAGTAACCAGTAACCAGGCGAGGACAGGCACACACTAGCATATATCCACATATCTGTGTGTGAATGTGTGTGTGTGTGTGTGTGTGGATCAACATTGAGTTATTCATTATGCAACGCACTGCGGCAGGCAGGCTAGATGGCTGGCTGGCTGACTGGCTGGTTGGCTGGCTGGCTCGGGCAGTGGCAAAAACGTCGAGCTATATTAAATAATAAAATATTAAAATCAATGTATTCACTGCCAACTGCGAACTGCCGATTGTGGAAGTGGATGGCTGGTTCGGGCACCAGGCGAGGTGTTCATGTGAATAAATTGCAATTAACAATATTTTTATTTTAACAAACGGAAACCAGTCCGCTGCCTAGGCTGGGCAAATGAAAAAAAGCGAGCGCACACATTTAATTAAAGGCAAATTTAATGGGTAAATATTTTATAGCCGGCATGCAACACACACACCCATGTAGAAAAAATGAGTGACACTTAAATTCATATTTTTAAAAAATATTATTAAAACAAAAAAAAAAAAAAACGGTCCTTACATGTATGTATATGTGTGTGTGTGTGTGTGTGTGTGTCGTGCAAATAAAGCGCGCAGCGTATATTAAATTTCAGGCTTGTAGAAAATAAAATAAGCGTGCACTAGAAAAACAAAGCGAACAAAAAATCTAACAACAAAAGAGAAAAATTAATAGTCTGCAAATATTTGTAGATTTTTACACGAACTATTAACGGGCACAAATATATGAGCAGACCCAAAAATAGGGTGCTGGCCCTTATGCTTCACTGAAAATATGGCAGCCCCTGTAATACGAGACCTATGCAAATAATACCGGAGCCCAAGGAGCGGGCAGGCCAGGACGGCGGCAGATAAAAAAAAAAAAGATGGCGACCAAGATTCTCAGTTACAAGAACAAAAGTGGCAAAGAAATTTGCATAAACGCCACTGCCATGCGCTGGTCAGTCAATTAGTCAGTGAGTCAGTCAGTTAGTCAATCAATCAATTGAAGCATTCATGCCAGTTCAAAGGTAAAAGGCAACACAAGCACAAAACAAAAACACTAACGAATCGATTGGCAAAGCAGTGAGGAACGAGTAGGAAGGATATCTGAAGTCCGTCCCCCCATAATACGGGTATATCCTGGCCAACTTTTTGGGGGTGTGTTGTCTTTTCAAAGGTTGCACTGCTGGACCATTTCTGGGAGTCGTAAGCGAGCGAGTGCTCTTTGAGGTGTTTCGCAGCTGCACAGGGGACAAGTAGTTCCACAGTTGCCGCAGCTCCTGCAGCCTGCAGCTGTCCTTACTGTTTATTTCCAGCTTTTTCCCCTTTTGCGCTTCAAATAAGATAGTTTTCGTTTTGAAATGCCAGCTCAAAATTGTAAGATAAATAGGAACTTCTTTGTATTAATGTATATTGATTTCACTTCTCGAATTAAGAAAAGCGCCAAAGCAGTTGTCTGTCTTTTTAAAATTATTAAAAATATGTATACGGAGTTAAATCTATCTATCTATAATCAAATTTTCGGTACTACCAAATAACCAAACTTCAATTGTACTTACTTTTTATTTAAGCAGTCACATTCCATAGAAATACCTTTAAATATAGTACATTCATTAAATCTTCTGACTCTGCTCATTTATATAACAAAATCTATGTTAATATCAAAGCTACATCGACAAACCGCACTAAATAATGCAAATTCCAGTTAGCTATTCGTCTGACTGCAAGACATTTTTACTCTACCTCCATTAACAATCAGCTTTATGAAGCAGACATTCCATTTAATGAAATAAAAAGGGATTACCTTCTGTAAACATTGTACAAAACCTCTTTTATTGCGAATACTACTAATAATCATTTTTAGATACAATTTTTATAAAATATTAACCTTTTTGTCTTCTAACGTTAACTTCAAATGTACATAGTTTTTTTTTAAACAGTCACATTCCATAATCTTCTGATTCTGATCATATTACAAAATCTATGTTAATATCAAAGCTACATCGACAAACCGCACTAAATAATGCAAATTCCAGTTAGCTATTCGTCTGACTCCAAGACATTTTTACTCTACCTCCATTAACAATCAGCTTTATGAATCAGATATTCCATTCATTGCAATAGAAAGGGATTACCTTCTGTAAAAACTGTACAAGCCTTCCTGTATTCCAATACTAAGTACTTGGGACTTCAAAATTGTTGTCCTTTCAATTAGTTTACAGTAATTATAATAATTATATCGTATTATATTTACCATATCTTTCAAATCAACTACAAAACTTGTAAGCAATTTGGTAGTTAATTTTTTAAATTTTAATGAGATGTGAATTTTCGGGACATTTTCAATATTAGTTGGATTGAATTAAAATTACTACGGCAATCTAATGGAACCATAATAATCTTTTTATAAAATTTAAATCGACTGCAAGCCATGTAGTTCCGAATAAAATAGAATATTGTACTATATGAATCTGGAATATAAAACCAATATTCAGTTTGGTTCCGAAATCAATAATAATAACATCCATTAGAACACATAATTTAAGCTTCGTGAAAAGTGTGTTCCACCTGCATGGTATTTTGACAGGAATAGATAGGATTGATAGTCTTGTTCCTTCGATACATGATGTCAGCATTATTTTGTTTTATTATATTATATTTATACACCTAATTCTGTATTTACACGGTCTTGATATATTTTGATATAACACGGTTTGAAAATTAAAAACTCCATATATGTATATTTCTTTAGAGATAAGGAACCAATCACCTGTTTTTGCATATGATCAATGTTTTTTTTTTTTTTTTTACATGGTTGCTTCTGGAACCAATCTATTGTGTATTATAAATCAGTTAGTAAAATGGCTTTAAGCATCTCATCTGAACCAAAGCTCAAATTTCGTAGAGGAATTTCTAATATGTAATAAATTATTTTTTGACTTAATTTTCTTTAAAAAGTATATTTCTAATTTTAGCTATGATATCAATTTCTGATAAATACAAGTAACATATATGTATGTACAAGTATATTAATTTAGTTTCACTTGAGCATATTTTCGGGACTAATAATTGACAGTTAACACTAAGTGTAAGTGTCGCCTAACGAATTATACTTACAATGTTGTTTTATAGAGGCAATTTTCAAAAGCAATTAGTGCTTTGACAACTTTGTTAGTATTCTAGTCAGTGCATTTTCGAATCGCCTGAGTGTGTTGCTGAAATTTTGCTGTTGCCAAGGAAAGTCGATTGCTTCTAGGATGAGTGGAAAAGAACGCCCACGCTCGTTGCGTCTGCAACAGTATCAGAAGGAACAGCAGCAGAAGCAGGAGGAGCAGTATTTTTCATCGGGCTTGGTGCGATTCAGTAGCGTGCGTTTCAAGGTAGAGCCACCCTTTGCTCTGGACATGGACGACGATGGCAGAGGCTATAGCGTTCAGCATCTGACTCCGCCGCGTCAGCATGCGCTCCGCACTCGCATGCGCGGCTACGTGGACAAGGTGGACATTGGGCCGGAGCATCAGGTGGAGGTGCCGGACTATGAGCCGGTGGACAAGGATAAACCCTATCGCGATAGCGCCGTCGAGACTCTGCTGTGGGCACCCAGTGGGACAGCTTCCGATTCGCGGCTGACTCAATACATGACTGTGGCCACGCGCACCAATAATTACACCGTGGAGCAGGCCATCTTCATGCTGCAGGCCCATCGCCACAACTATAGACGTGCCCTGCAGCAGGTCAGCCACTACGCCAACATCAGGGCTCTGTGGTCGACCAGCGAGCAGCAGCGCTTCGAGCTGCTCTTGGCTCGCCATGGCACGCGCTTTAATCGCATCAAAGAGGCCATGCCCTGGCGTGGACTCGCTGAACTGCTGGACTTCTACTACTCCTGGGTACCAGCTCAGAATGAGCTTAGCTATCCCCAGCAGTTTCTGACCTGGTTGGAGCTGACGGTGCCAATGTATCAGCGCTCCAATTACAGCGGTGTTGGCGGCATGTTTCTGTCTCGATCGAAGGCACCGGTGTTGCCGTCGCCCCTACTGCCTCAGGTGCTGCAACAGGCGCCTCCGCCCCCACTGGAGAATGGGGAGCTACTGGCGCTGGCAAGGGCCAACACCAGCGCCTGGCAGTGTGCCGATTTCATGCGCCAGATGGGACTGCTTCAGGCTCAGCTGCTGAAGCAACGCTCCCAACTCGAGAACAAGGACGCCAATTGGTTGGAGGACTGGGACGAGCTGCGCCGTGCTCTAAAGACGGGTGGCACCCGTAACTTTCGCGAGTGGCGGCAGCTCGACAAGCAGCTCTTGGAGCTGGCTCTCGAAGAATACGGCTGCAACTTTGCTCTCATTTCCCGTATTTTGCGCAGCAAGACGGAGCAACAGGTACGCCAGTATTACGAAACCAATATGGAGGTGCTCCGAAGATACGCCGAGGCTTATACGGGCAAGTCAGACTTTGATGAGGCCACTGAGGACATGAACGAGTCCTTTCTTTACGAGATGTACCCAAATGCTTCAGTAAAATAATGACAAACTGCCGCATCTAGCATAAGCTTTATTTAGATGTGATTTATATTCATTTCAATTATACAACTAGACCTTAATACATCCATGACATACAAAAAAAATGTAAAATACTATTAAACAAATAAAATATAACACATGAGATAAATTATAGAAGCATTGCATGAACGCTATGACTCCTTATGGGGGTACTTTGGAGTTGAAACGTTTCTAGATTCTGGTAACCATTTACCCCATTTAAGATTCGATGGACCTATCAAAGATATATTAATTAAATTATATATTCCTATTAGCTCTGTCCGGCCCCATGATATTTGTATAGCTCTGGATTATACATTAAGATATATTCAATAATGAACAAATAAAATGTTTTGGACAATAACAAATCAGTATCAGCATCAGTATTTTGAAATGGTTTTATATTCCGTATAACAACACCAGATGGAAGAATAGATGGATCAAGAGCATATATAGGCTGGGATATGGTAAGCATATAGTACAACCAATCGAGTTTAAATGGAGAGTCTCATTTGTTAGTTTGAAAGGCGTTTATTAGATATTATTGTAGTTTGATTAAATTTCTCCTTAAGTTTTCCTAGTTTATAAGGTTTTTTATAATCTTTATATTGTATTTATGTATAGTTTTCCACAATCAATTTTTTGTATACAAATATAATAAATAAAAAAGGAAGTAGGCACTTGTGCAGTAAGGCCCTTTTCTTTAAACGCCACTGCTCATTCAGACAAAACTCAGAACCAAAACGGTCGAACCATATATACAAATAAATTTTTTTTAAGCAGTCAATAAAACTTCCCGGTTCTGTAGTTAAATAATTTCTTAAATTTATTAAAGTGTGGATCGGTTAACTTATATTTAGCAATACAATGTACAATGCCGGCCTCGCTCAAGGCACAGATCATTTCCAGTTTATAAAGAGCACGGATCGGAAGAGCCTGCATGCCCAGATTAAGGCGCTTGTGGTCAAGGCCCAGGAAGTGGCGGCCGGCGAGCTGCGCGAGCGAAGCCAGCGCTTAAAGGATATGCTAGACAATGAGGACAAGGACTATGAGGAGGAGTTCGCCAACAAGGTGAGGTCGCGCATCGACGAGGACATAAGTGCGCGCAAGGCACATCTGCATGCCATTAAGGAGGAGCACAATAAGCGCCACAAGAGGTTCCTCGATGCGAAGCGGGTGCAGCAGGTGATGGAAAGCAGCTACGAGATACGAGAGGCGCTGCGTCTGGAGGACCTCAAGAACACCAAGATATGCCAAGAGGAACAGATCCTGGACAACCAGCGCAAGAAACAAAAAGAGTGTGAACTCGAAAACTATTGGCGCACCCTTAACCAGCGGCGCTGGGATGAGTTCGACCGCCTAGAGAAGTACGAGCTGTGCAAGCGCGAGCAGATGCGGGAGCAGATGTGCCACGTGCTGAAGTTGCAGATGGAAGAGGGTGAGGAGAAGCGCCGCAAGGAGCGAGAGGAAAAAGATGAAGAAGCACGTGAGCTGAACAAAATTCTGGATGAGCTTCGTCTCGAGAAATTTGACGGGGAACACAAGCCTGCTAGCCGAGAGAGGCTGAAGTATCGCAATGAGCTTCTCGCGGAGATCGCACGTCGCAAGCGCGAACGCGATGCCGAGTGGCTGGCAGCCAAAGAGGATCACATGGCATTCATTCGGGAGACGCAGAGACTGGAGGCGGAGGCCAAGGCGTACATCGAGAATAGTAAGCGGGATTTGAACCGAGCTACACACCAATACATTGCATATGTACGGCGCATGCGTGCTCTGGAGCTGGGCATTGAGAAGATGATGGACGACCGTACCGCGGATCTGCACCATGTGGACATCTGCACTAAGAGCAACATTGCCGAGATGGCGCGCCTCAAGGGGGAGGAGGCGGCTCGCTGTCATGCCATATTGAAGCAACAAATCTGTGAGGAAGCCGAGCGTCGCATGCGTTGGGAGGCTGAGGTACATGAGAATAAAATCATCGAGAATCGATTTGTGCATCCACCGGTGACGAAGGAAATGATATTGGAAAAATATCGTCAGAATCGTCATGATTTGGATGCTCAGATCGCAGAACTGCGGCGCATACGTGCCGAGGAAGAAAAACGTTTCGAGCAAAGGCTACAGAAAGCAATTGATGATCCAGCTATTTGCTCTCAGCTGGCCATTGAGTATATACGCGATGGGACGGACTACCTAGCCCCGCATCCTAACTGGAAAATCTACGGCTGTCCGCGTAACAAGTACGTTCAGAAGCCGCCCATGACCATGGAAGAGTTCGATAAACGTGTGAAGGAGGCAAGCGTAGATAAATGCCCGTGTCCGGATGCTGCCCGGTGTCATTGCGGATTTATGGCTTTGCAGGATACTACTAAGAAAAATGTGCCAAATACTACTAAGAAAAATGTGCCAAAAGTCTGTACCCAAGAAGTACATCTAGATGTGCCACCGGAGGGCTGCAATCCACGGATCAAAAGAGATGAATTTAAAAACTGTCCCTGCCTGCCATCTCAAAGGGGGCACGCAAACTTACATCACAAGAATCCTCACTAAGCTAAGCATCCTCTACTTCAGTTCTTCCTTTTACTAACACTTGAATAAAATGTTTATTTGGAGGCAATATCTTTGTTATTTTTACTCATGTCTTAATCTTGCTTGACATTGGCTTTCTTTCTCCGAATTTTTAGGGAGAATTCCAAAACGATTATGAACAACATCAGCCATCTCGTATATGCGTTCAATAAAGTTGGTTTTAAAACCAATTGTTCGAAGTTTTGTAGTTTAGAAAGGATTTAGTTAAGGATTTAGAAAAGCATAATCAGCACTAACTATATGTACAAGTTATATATATGTATATAATTCATTCGTACCTATAAACTATTTTAAGTTGCAGACCTATTATCACCGGAGGTCAAGAGGGCTTTGAATAATATTCTGCCAAAAACTGTGTAAAAAGAAAATACAATAGGTAAGAGAATAAAGGGTTGAGGAGGCAACATTAGGCTAAAGCAACATTAGCCAAAATAAAAACAAGCATATTTATGTAACTAGCAATGCACAGTCAGCCTTATTGTCATCGTTGACATGTCCGTTCAACCAAAAATTTAAACAGAGCACAAATATAAGAGGGTACACACATATATGAAAGACGGGGTCAGGTGTTTCCCTTTGCTTGGTAACAAAAAAATTGAATGATGGCCAAAAGCAAGAGGAAGCTGGACATCTAAGCTTCCTCCATCTCTACATATGAAAATATTCGTGCGTCTATGCTACAAATTGGATTGCAATGGCTAACTGAATTGTCAAAGCCATATAAAAGCACACTCATCCACACATACTTACTATATACATACGAATATCTGTATTCTCACAAAGCAGTTCCATATAATTGTCTGCAAGAACAGCTGTTTACCGCAATGGGAATTGGATTTTTTAATAATTTTCGGAAGACATTTTTACAACATTTACTCAGCAAGTAAATTAATTGTTAATATTGGCAACATTATCTTAACGTCCCATTTCTTGTTGATTGGCAATCAAATTCTTCAATTTAATTAAAATATTGCTAAGCTTTGCCATTGTTCTTGAAGAATTTTAATAGCTTCAATAAAATATATTAAAATTTGTATATTAAAAGCAAGAGGCAAGCAGGCGAAACAATGATCTCCGATTCTTTTATGAAGTTTCTATTTCCATTATAAATGGTTCTCGCAACTTCTAGATTATCCAAATTTGGTATCCATGGTCTTCTAAGCCAGACTTATGTTTTTATTTCTCCTTATTACCCAATCTATTGTTGCCATATGTTTTTAAAAATGATGTAACGGGCAAAAAATAAAATTAAAACAAACAAACAGGTTGAACAACTCTTCTTGTTCACGCAGTTTCTGTTTGTATAGCATTTTTTACTTATATTTTTTATATTAATAAAATAATTTAAAAAATAATAAATGACGTTTAGAAAGAGCGGGAGGATTGTTGGTTTTTTGCTGCGTTTCTAATTAATTTTCTGCTGCATGTATTTCAAGAAATCTTTTAAGCGCACATTTTCAATATACTATTTTATATGATTTGAGAATTTGAAAGATACTGCGGAAAGATTAAGACATTAGCAGCAAAGCGGTAAACAGAGAAACAATTAAGGGTTTCTCTCTTTTATTCGAATATTTTTTAGTGCTAATTAGGAAGGCTTAAAATGTTTTATGAATTTATTAAATTGTATGTTCTTAAATATACAAATATTTAAATTATGGAGATCTTGGAAATACTATGTACAAATAAAATGCATTGTATATAAATACTTTTTCATATTCAAGTATGTACAGAAAAATGCGATTGGATCACCTCTATGTTGGAGTGATTCATGGTCCCCCAGAGTTCTATACCGCAGTTCCAGACGGGCTTTAAGATGAGCTTGTAAAGCAAAAATGTATTTCTACAGAGATCTGTGCAGAGTCACATCACAAATGAATTACGGACCATGTCAACCACCTGGTCTTAAACATAGCCAAACACAGGCAACATCACACAAGGCTGAAAGGCTATTCCTCTGTGGACTTGCCATTCCACCTATAGAATTATCTGATTTATCTTTCTTTTCTCTAATCTTGTTATAATCTCAAGGCTTAACTCCCAAATGAAATAGCAAATCATTTAATATTTGTTTTTAACTCGGACATCATGTTTAAGCAAGCCCCTCTGCTAAAATAATAATGAAAATAAGAATTAGCTAAGCAATAAATCTTTCACTCACCCCGAATACAAATGTGTGCAATTTTTTAAAATATAATTTCGCAAATCGCCGTGTGAACTTTCTTGATTACCACAAAGTTGGGCGGACAGGTGTTAGGTCGGCATCTTAGAGGTCTTCTCATCAATAAACTTTGCGGACACTAAGTCAGTCCGTCTTCTCCGTTTACACACATTTTCCCCATTTGGTTCAGAAAACTGAAGACTTGAGCTTTAAATTTGTAGCACGCTTTATTTCTTTGTTGCTTAGTTCGCATTTAATTTTCTTAGTTTTTTACAATAAGTTAGATTTAACATTAGTTTGAAGAGTTACATTGGCATTTGAATTGTGTTCGTATATATATATATATATTTAAATTTTTAAATTTAGATAACTTTGGACAACTATAGAGATACATTTACACTCACGCACACACTTATACAGACATACAGTTGCACATTTGAGAATTAAAAACTACACACAGACAGACTTAGTACTTACTATGCATAATAAATTGTTTGAACTGTACAATAAAAAATTTGTTGCTACTTTTTCTAAACTTAGAATTGCATTAACAAAATCATACACACAAAGCATATATGTACATATACTATATGTACAAAACAAACCTCACTTAACTAAAGATACTATTTACAGATCTGCACAGATAGATACAGCCTAGGCCACCTCCAAATCGGAGGACTCGTCCGCATCGCTATAGTTGTTCGGATCGCTCTTGATGTGCACTAATTGGGCGGCATAGTGCTCGGAAGCGCACTTGGACATGCTGACTGTCACATTGTTGTTGTTGTTGTTGCTGCTGCTGGCACTATTGCTGGTGCTGCTGCTGTTGTTGTTGTTGTTGTTGTTGCTACTGCTGGTGGTGCTGCCGCATTGCTCCTCTTGGAGCTTGCGCAGGCGCTCCTGCTCCTCGCGCTTTTGCTTCCTCCATTTGGCACGTCGATTCTTGAACCAGACCTGTAAGAGAGACAAGAAGAGGAAGAAATGAGTTTCGATTTAAAAGTATACATATAAGTATATACTATACGTAAAATAAATCCAAGTTGAAGTTATAGAAATGTGTGGCCGCTCCCCCGCCGTTTTCTATTCTATGGCTTCAAAAACACTTTCATCCGTTTTTCAAATTATATTTTCAATGCTGCCTCTTTCGCCCCCATCCTCATCTCCCCACCATTTCATCTCAACTTTGCTCCTTACAATTGCAAATATTTTAATTTTCATAGCCGCCAGTCAGCTTCTATACACTTGCAAAGGGCATTGCTATTTTGGGATTATACACTATATGTTTTTAAACTACTTATAAAGCCGTAGCACCCATGATATCTTATATTATAAAAGAAATGCGACAAGATGAAAACGTTGCTGACTTCGATATACAAATATTGCTTTTCCCGCATTTTGTGAACATTCCCTTTTTGGTAGTCGATTTTGGAATTAAATTTTGAGAAAAGTTTCTGATTAAGCAAAACGTTTTTATCATCGACAGATCTGTGTATTACTTAAAAAAGCATGTATCTTAATAATTCCAACCTAAGTAGCTTGTAAAAAGCTTTGCACTTTACGACCATAATAATTCAAACGTCTGCAAAATTTTATAGACAGGGTATTCAAGTTGCCAACAATATAAAGAAATGGACTATAATAGGAATAAAATCAAAAACTCCTTTATAATATTGTAGAGATTATGCAAAATCAGAGTTAAGAATGAAAAGACTTTATAGCATATTCTGCAAAATTTGGTAGCAATCCTTAAGTGTAGATTGCCTAAAGGAAAGGAGCGTCCCAACACCAGAAAAAATAGTTGTTTATTATTTTGCGTATCAAATATAGAAATGAAGTAAAAGTTATTTTCTACCAAGTTTTCGAATGAAATTCCACTACAAGAAATATATTATTTATATAATTTTTTATTTTTATTTTAGTTGTTTATTCCTTTATTTATTTATCCAAATATGGAAATCAAGTAAAGGTTATTTTTTACCAAATTGAATGAAATTCCACAAGAGGGAAAATATTAATTATATCATTTTGTTTTCAGAAATGAAATAATTAATCGTTAAGTTTATTTAACAAATTTAATGATTGTCCACGATGGACAGTTTTTAATAAAAACACTCTGCTGATACAATATTTTCAATAAATGTATGCGTTATTCGTATAGGCTCGGCTCTATGCATTGTACTTGACACGCTTTTTCCTCCCCACATTTTTTAATATGGCTGCCTTTTGCGTTTATCTTTCGCTTGTGTTGTTGTCGTTGCTGAGGCAACGCACAAAGGTCCCTCCCTCCCCTTCCTCACAACCATCCCCTCCGTCTTATGCCCAGCACCCGCGCTTGCTCCATTTTCTGCTTAATTAGTTGGTTTATTGTAACTGTAATTAATTACGCGCGCCATTTTATGCAAAAGAGAAAAACGAGCAACTTTTTCTTGTAAACATACTTTTTCTTGGCAACAATTTTAGCTCGAGTTGCTGCTTGCTGTGGCTTTGTTGCTGTTACTGCTGCTGCTGTTGTTGTTGTTGTTGGGTGGCGCGTTGGTGCGTGCTTTGTAAATTTGGGTTTTTAATTAGAAGCAGACTCCACCCCCGCACCCCCCTCACCACATCAGCAGCCGAAGAGAGGAGGACAGACCCACAGACTGCCTGCTACTTAGTTAATTAAAACAAAGTGACTTAAGGGTTCATTTGCACAGAGTGGGGGAAAAAGGTGCGTTGGTTGGTCGTTGGTCGTGGGTGGGTTTACTCGTATCTTGTCATTTGGTAGCTACCACCAAAATCAACGATAAGCGCGCAAGGGTGGAGCTAAAAGCTAGGCAAAGGCGTTCTCACCCAATCCCAAGAGTTCACCCCGCAAAATTGTTGTTGTTGTTCGTGTTTGTGTTTGTCTCTGTATTCAATAACATAAACAGAAATGAGCAGAAAAAACAATGTTAAAATAAATATTCGCGCAATATTTGTTGCTAAATGCTGTCGTTGTTGCTGTTGTTTGTATTATTATTGTTTTTGACAGTCATAATACTTTATTTTTTGACCAACAGCAACATTTAATTAGAAAAACTATGAAGGCGCAACTTTTTCGTTGTGAAAATCCCATGTTATCATTGTTGCAAGGCAAAAGTTTTTCTTTCCCCCTGCCCCATTACCAAACGTTTTTCGGGCGCTCCCCCACAATTAGCATATAACTGTGGAAATGTTTATGCAGCAAATCGACTGAATTTGTTAAAATAACAGAAAATGCGCCAGCTGTTGCCACTAGAGTGTGTGTGTATGAAAGAGAGGAAGAAGAAGGGGGAGAGAGAAAGGGAGTGTGTGTGGCAAGCAGTCATCATCAGAAATGCGTTAAACTCATAAGTAGCCTGCAACGGAGCCTGGCAGTAGCTTCCCTAAACTTGAGAACTCATTTCAGTTGGCAATAAAATTTGCTTAAAATTTGTATTAAATAAGTAGAGAGCTGAGCTGGATGCCATAGCTTATTTACTTAGGTTCAGTTTAAATGGCAAAAGTAGCGATGGAATATGTTGCTCGGGGCAACCTTTGAAGCGCGCTTCTCAGCTCCTCAGCTCGTCAGCTGCTCAGCCGCTCAGCTCGTTGGCAACGCGACCGGCCAACTCGTTTGATGTGTCAGCCAATGAACTTGCTACATACAAATACAATTACATACATACATACATATATATACATAAATGTACATACATATGTATAGAGGGGGGTAGTCTTTGATTTGTCGCTGTGTTTCACGCTTTGTTGCAACTGTCGCTGCGCGTTTGCCAAATTGAATTTGAATTTGATTTGAATGCAATGAATAATTTCGATTGTCACAAAAATGTTTAAACTAATTAAATCTCTCAAATTGTTTTCTATGCAAGCACACATGCGTACAAAACTGTATGTGTATGTGTCTGTCTCTGTGTGTGTGTGTGTGAGTGTGTGTGTGCCTATTTATTTTCATAATTTTATAATTTTATGAGCTTAAGTTATTAAAATAACACATATTGTTTTGCGGCTATGTGTTTGCGAGCGGGGGCGTGGCGCACAGGCAGAATTGTGCGCCACTAATAAACAAAAACGCTTTGAATTTTGTCTGCCACTTAATTGTGTCAACAAATTCGGGGCTTAATTATGTAACAGTTTAATCCAAATAATCTAAAAATGCCATGAATAGTGTTTAAAAAACACACAAAGTTTTTACTTAGTTTGTGCACACTGGTCTTAAATTGCTGCTAATGTATTATTAGCTATTAATATATTAGTTTCTATTAAGGAACACTTTCAAAGTGTGACTAGAAAGAGTTAATTGCCTTTTCTAAGGCTGTTTTATTTTCAACAAGATACTAGACGATGCAATTGGAGAACTTACTTTTCGAAATAAAATATAGTTTTGTTTGAATAAGAATTTATATTAATATATTGTGCCCTATTAGGTGACACTTTCAAAGTGTGACTAGAAAGTGAAAGAGTTAATTGCCTTTTCTAAGGCTGTTTTATTTTCAACAAGATACTAGACGATGCAATTGGAGAACTTACGAATGGAGAACCTATGGATTACTGCAAGTTATTGCTTTTTGAAATGAAATATAGATTTGTTCGAATAAGAATTATTATTATTATTAAGTGACACTTTCAAAATGTGATTAGAAAGAGAAAGCTGTTTTATTTTCAACAAGATATTATGGACAACTTTTTGATAATTGCCAGTTATTACTTTTTGAAATAAAATATACATTTGTTTTATTAAGAATTTCATGATCAGGTGCAGCATATCTAAGTATTTTAGTTTATTTACGTTAAACTCTGATTTGAAAACCTTAATAGCTAGGTTGTTGGCAATGGGCCCTGACAATTGTTTTTTGTTGTGCAGCATCGGCAAAGGATTAAAAGCATAGAAAAAAACGAGAAATTTTATATTAATAAAATGTGTATATATTGTAAAAACGGTGATTTTTATAGAAATATTATAATTTAACAATTGGGAGTACAAAGTAAAAATAGAACTTGCCAGTCTTGGTAAGTCTGTGTTACAATATTGTATTCTTCAGTTAGTGAAGCCATAAATTGTCTACGCATATAAGTAAGTATATATAGTATGAAGGAAAAGTTTGTTTCTTCTAAACTTAATCTGTTTGAATTTAAAATGAATGTGCAATTTGTGTGGAAAAATGTATTGCTTTGAAAAGTTAAGTCTTTTGTAGAATTTTTAACAAGAACAATTCGATTATTAGTTTCAAATGAAACCAATATACTTGTATGCATGTAAATGCGATCAAGAACTGAATCAATGTGCAGTTTGTTCGCCAAAGGCAAACTGATTAAAGTTTCATATTTTAATTAAAACATTTGCCCATTTGGCCATTGAACGCATTGAACCCTAATCCGTGTTCCGAGCGCAAAGCCAAACACGCGCACACACACGCGTCGCCGCCGCTCTAATCCCGTAATTTTTCGGGCCAACAACGCTTCACTGGCCTTTTTTTCCCTCTCATGAAGCTGAAACGCTGGTCAGCGCTTGTTTAAAATCTGACTAACGCAAAAATTTTCAATAACCGCCGGCTGTGGTTTTTTTTTGAATTTTTTTTTTTTGTTGAAAACTGTCGAAAAAGTTGAAAACAACGCGCCGAAAATCGCAGCAAAAATGTTGCCAAATTAAATAAACAAAAACGTGGCGGCACCAAAAAACAAAAATGTGAAGGTGAGCTGCAAGAGTGGGTTGTTGATGACGACGACGATCAATGAAAACGTGGCAAAAACAAAAAAAAAAAAAACACAAGAAAAAAAGAGGCACACGCACACAGACAAACATGCACAACAAAATGGCCGCCACGAGCGGCTGTTCGTAGGCAAAACAGCAACTGACTGCTTGGCATGCATGGGAGAAACATCATACATCCATCTATCCAGCCAAGCATCCAGGCATCCAACCATCCATCGGGAGAAGTTCGCAAGAGGAGGACGTCTGGCAA